CGGACATTGCACAGAACCATACTTTGCATGATGAAGCAACAACATGAACAACAAGAACAACTTAACCTGGAGAACTAAACAGCCTGGCAAGCAGATAATCATACCCCATTACCAGAAACACACAAAGAGAATTACTCTACGTCAGGGCAAGAACATGATGAGTTGCCACCACTGGGTACAAGCACTATGCGGCAAGAACATGATACGTTGCCACCACTGGGTACCCGCACTATGCGGCAAGAACATGATGAGTTGCCACCACTGGGTACCCGCACTACGCGGCAAGAACATGATTAGTTGCCACCACTGGGTACCCGCACTATGCGGCATATGAACAATGTGACATGTGTTTAATTCCCTTGCCAAGTTCAATTCACAGCATTTCGCTTTCCGGCTGGCTACCTACCTCAATACAGAAACGGCCGCAGAGACAACAGAGATGATGCTGTCTTAGCCTTTCACTGAGGGAAAGGAAACACAAAGAAAATAGACAGGAGAAAAAGCAAGAAATGAGATGGAGAACAAAGAGTTAGTTATGTCCATTTGTTTGTTGTCTGTTTTCGTCGCACCACACTTCACGCTTGCTAGGTTTCCTCACACTTACACCTTTTCCCCATTCCGTTCCTAGTTTATGTGTTGTTATTTTAGCTCCTGCTCCTTGCGCTGTTTCTATTACCTCTCTACGTACTAATCTATTGTCCTTGTTCATTTGATTTTGCCTGTATATTCACCTGACGATAAGGCTTGAAAGTATACTAGTGAAACCAACAACTTTCAAGATGTTCGTAACGAGCCTGAAGTGTGTTCTTTTCTGAGTATTAGAACAAAGAGATGAGCCATTTCCCAAGAGATAATATATCTGTGTCATGTACACTCAAAGATAAGAAAATTCACACTTTCTAGAAAAAGACGGCCACAATAAACATCTGACAACTTCTTCGTTGCGTACAACTTCTCCATTGAAAGTGGCGTGGATCCTCTAGAGCTGGCATAAATGTGTGCAGTCAGAAAAAAGGGGATATCATACACAGAGTTCAAAATCACTCACTGATGCTTCAAACAGATGAGACTCCAGATTCCGGTAAGAGGATTCAGGTAGTATCGAAAGCTCTTTGGTCCATCTCGAGCCGTGCACTGCACCTCCTGTTGACAGCATATGTGGGTGCATTGGGGAGAGAGAGAGAGAGAGAGAGAGAGGGGGGGGGGGGGGGGGTGCAAAAGAGATTTTTAACAATCGGCAAATGCAACTGCACCAACAAATAAACTCGTGCTCCCAAGCCTCCAGCTGGAAGTGACATTTCAGTAAATAAACGAGTTGTGGCTATTGCCGTACAACACACACACACAAGTGTATCCATTAAAGCTATTGCGAGGCACGTGGCAACGAGTGGCAGTTGCCCTGGAGGATTGGAACTCAACAACCTGAAATGTCACAACAACGTCATAGATCTCAGCAGACAAACAAAAATCAACTCTGCAGAGTTTGACCAACAACTGAAAGCCACACAACCACTTAAAGACACTCAACTACTGAAAAACACACAGCCACTCAAAGACGCACAACTACTGAAAGACGCACAACTACTGAAAGACGCACAACTACTGAAAGACGCACAACTACTGAAAGACATACAACCACGGAAAAACACTCAAATACTGAAAGACACAGAACCACTGAGAGACATACAACCACTGAGAGACACACAACCACTGAGAGACACACAACCACTGAGAGACACACAACCACTGAGAGACACACAACCACTGAGAGACACACAATCACTGAGAGACACACAACCACTGAGAGACACACAACCACTGAAAGACACACAACCACTGAGAGACACACAACCACTGAGAGACACACAACCACTGAGAGACACACAACCACTGAGAGACACACAACCACTAAATGACACACAACCACTGAGAGACACACAACCACTGAAAGACACACAACCCCTGAAAGACACACAACTACTGAGAGACACACAACCACTGAGAGACATACAACCACTGAGAGACACACAACCACTGAGAGACACACAACCACTGAGAGACACACAACCACTGAGAGACACACAACCACTGAGAGACACACAACCACTGAGAGACACACAACCACTGAGAGACACACAACCACTGAAAGACACACAACCACTGAAAGACACACAACCACTGAGAGACACACAATCACTGAGAGACACACAACCACTGAGAGACACACAACCACTGAAAGACACACAGCCACTGAAAGACACACAACTACTGAGAGACACACAACCACTGAGAGACATACAACCACTGAGAGACACACAACCACTGAGAGACACACAACCACTGAGATACACACAACCACTGAGAGACACACAACCACTGAGAGACACTCAACTACTGAAAAACACACAGCCACTCAAAGACGCACAACTACTGAAAGACGCACAACCACTGAGAGAGACACAACCACTGAGAGACACAGAACCGCTGAAAGACACACAACCACTGAGAGACACACAACCACTGAGAGACACACAACCACTGAAAGACACACAACCACTGAGAGACACATAACCACTGAGAGACACACAACCACTGAGAGACACACAACCACTGAGAGACACACAACCACTGAGAGACACACAACCACTGAGAGACACACAACCACTGAAAGACACACAACCACTGAGAGACACACAACCACTGAGAGACACACAACCACTGAGAGACACATAACCACTGAGAGACACACAACCACTGAAAGACACACAACCACTGAGAGACACACAACCACTGAGAGACACACAACCACTGAGAGACACACAACCACTGAGAGACACACAACAACTGAAAGACACACAGCCACTGAAAAACACACAACTACTGAGAGACACACAACCACTGAGAGACACACAACCACTGAGAGACACACAACCACTTAGAGACACACAACCACTGAGAGACACACAACCACTGAGAGACACACAACCACTGAAAGACACAGAACCACTGAGAGACACACAACCACTGAGAGACACACAACCACTGCAAGACACACAACCACTGGGAAACACACAACCACTAAAAGACACACAACCACTGATAGACACACAACCACTGAGAGACACACAACTACTGAAAGACAAACAACCACTGAAAGACACACAACTACTGAGACACACACAACCACTGAGACACACACAACCACTGAGAGACACACAACCACTGAGAGACACACAACCACTGAAAGACACACAACCCCTGAGAGACACACAACTACTGAAAGACAAGCCGCAAGACTTACATCCAAAAAAAACCTGAACACAGCACCAAAGAAATCGGCCGCAGCAGCATTAGACACACTCTCCCCACATGATCATCCCCGGCACTCCCCCGCACCAATCAGCACACTACGCACTCTCCCCATGTGGTCATCCCCGGCACTCACTCAAAAAACATGCTGATCATCCCCGGCACTCGCTCACACCAATCAGCACACGACGCACTCTCCCCACATGATCATCCGTGGCACTCACAATGCACTCTCCACACGAGATCATCTCCGGCACTCACAACACACTCTCCACACATGATCATCTCCGGCACTCACTACGCACTCTCCACACATGATCATCTCCGGCACTCACAACGCACTCTCCACAAATGATCATCCGCGGCACTCACAAAGCACTCTCCACACATGATCATCTCCGGCACTCACAACGCACTCTCCACACATGATCATCTCCGGCACTCACAACGCACTCTCCACACATGATCATCTCCGGCACTCACAACGCACTCTCCACACATGATCATCCGCGGCACTCACAACGCACTCTCCACACATGATCATCTCCGGCACTCACTACGCAATCTCCACACATGATCAGCCGCGGCACTCAAACACACTCTCCACACATGATCATCCGCGGCACTCACAACGCACTCTCTACACATGATCATCTCCGGCATTCACAACACACTCTCCACACATGATCATCTCCGGCACTCACAGCGCACTCTCCACACATGATCATCCGCGGCACTCACAACGCACTCTCCACACATGATCATCTCCGCCACTCACTACACACTCTCCACACATGATCATCTCCGGCGCTCACAACACACTCTCCACACATGATCATCTCCGGCACTCAAAACGCACTCTCCACACATGATCATCTCCGGACTCACTACGCACTCGCCACACATGATCATCTCCGGCACTCACAACACACTCTCCACACATGATCATCTCCGGCACTCACAACACACTCTCCACACATGATCATCTCCGGCACTCACAGCGCACTTTCCACACATGATCATTTCCGGCACTCAAAACGCACTCTCCACACATGATCATCGCCAGACTCACGACGCACTCTCCACACATGATCATCCACAGCACTCACTACACACTCTCCACACATGATCATCCGCGCCACTCACAACGCAATCTCCACACATGATCATCTCCGGCACTCACAGCGCACTCTCCACACATGATCATCTCCGGCACTCAATACACACTCTCCACACATGATCATCTCCGGCACTCAATACACACTCTCCACACATGATCATCTCCGTCGCTCACTGCGCACTCTCTACACATGATCATATCCAGCACTCACTACACACTCTCCACACATGATCATCTCCGGCGCTCACTACACACTCTCCACACATGATCATCCACGGCACTAAGAACGCACTCTCCACACATGATCATCTCCGGCACTCACAACACACTCTCCACACATGATCATCTCCGGCACTCACAACGCACTCTCCACACATGATCATCCGCGGCACTCACAACGCACTCTCCACACATGATCATCTCCGGCACTCACAACACACTCTCCACACATGATCATCTCCGGCACTCACAACGCAATCTCCACACATGATCATCTCCGGCACTCACAACGCACTCTCCACACATGATCATCTCCGGCACTCACAGCGCACTCTCCACACATGATCATCCGCGGCACTCACAACGCACTCTCCACACATGATCATCTCCGGCACTCACTACACACTCTCCACACATGATCATCTCCGCCACTCACTACACACTCTCCACACATGATCATCTCCGGCACTCACAACACACTCTCCACATATGATCATCTCCGGCACTCACAGTGCACTCTCCACACATGATCATCTCCGGCGCTCACAACACACTCTCCACACATGATCATCTCCGGCACTCAAAACGCACTCTCCACACATGATCATCGCCGGACTCACTACGCACTCTCCACACATGATCATCTCCGGCACTCACAACACACTCTCCACACATGATCATCTCCGGCACTCACAACACACTCTCCACACATGATCATCTCCGGCACTCACAGCGCACTTTCCACACATGATCATCTCCGGCACTCACAACACACTCTCCACACATGATCATTTGAGGCACTCAAAACGCACTCTCCACACATGATCATCGCCGGACTCACTACGCACTCTCCACACATGATCATCCACAGCACTCACTACACACTCTCCACACATGATCATCCGCGCCACTCACAACGCAATCTCCACACATGATCATCTCCGGCACTCACAGCGCACTCTCCACACATGATCATCTCCGGCACTCACTACACACTCTCCACACATGATCATCTCCGGCACTCAATACACACTCTCCACACATGATCATCTCCGTCGCTCACTGCGCACTCTCTACACATGATCATATCCAGCACTCACTACACACTCTCCACAGATGATCATCTCCGGCGCTCACTACACACTCTCCACACATGATCATCCACGGCACTCAGAACGCACTCTCCACACATGATCATCTCCGGCACTCACAACGCACTCTCCACACATGATCATCTCCGGCACTCACAACGCACTCTCCACACATGATCATCCGCGGCACTCACAGCGCACTCTCCACACATGATCATCTCCGGCACTCAATACACACTCTCCACACATGATCATCTCCGGCACTCACAACGCACTCTCCACACATGATCATCCGCGGCACTCACAACGCACTCTCCACACATGATCATCTCCGGCACTCAATACACACTCTCCACACATGATCATCTCCGGCACTCACAACGCACTCTCCACACATGATCATCTCCGGCACTCACTACACACTCTCCACACATGATCATCTCCGGCACTCACTACACACTCTCCACACATGATCATCTCCGGCACTCAATACACACTCTCCACACATGATCATCTCCGTCGCTCACTGCGCACTCTCCACACATGATCATATCCAGCACTCACTACACACTCTCCACACATGATCATCTCCGGCGCTCACTACACACTCTCCACACATGATCATCCACGGCACTCACAACGCACTCTCCACACATGATCATCTCCGGCACTCACAACGCACTCTCCACACATGATCATCTCCGGCACTCACAACGCACTCTCCACACATGATCATCCGCGGCACTCACAGCGCACTCTCCACACATGATCATCTCCGGCACTCACAACGCACTCTCCACACATGATCATCCGCGGCACTCACAACGCACTCTCCACACATGATCATCTCCGGCACTCACAACACACTCTCCACACATGATCATCTCCGGCACTCACAACGCAATCTCCACACATGATCATCTCCGGCACTCACTACACACTCTCCACACATGATCATGTCCGGCACACACAACGCACTCTCCACACATGATCATCTCCGGCACTCACTACACACTCTCCACACATGATCATCTCCGGCACTCACTACACACTCTCCACACATGATCATCTCCGGCACTCAATACACACTCTCCACACATGATCATCTCCGTCGCTCACTGCGCACTCTCTACACATGATCATATCCAGCACTCACTACACACTCTCCACAGATGATCATCTCCGGCGCTCACTACACACTCTCCACACATGATCATCCACGGCACTCAGAACGCACTCTCCACACATGATCATCTCCGGCACTCAATACACACTCTCCACACATGATCATCTCCGGCACTCACAACGCACTCTCCACACATGATCATCCGCGGCACTCACAACGCACTCTCCACACATGATCATCTCCGGCACTCAATACACACTCTCCACACATGATCATCTCTGGCACTCACAACGCACTCTCCACACATGATCATCTCCGGCACTCACTACACACTCTCCACACATGATCATCTCCGGCACTCACTACACACTCTCCACACATGATCATCTCCGGCACTCAATACACACTCTCCACACATGATCATCTCCGTCGCTCACTGCGCACTCTCCACACATGATCATATCCAGCACTCACTACACACTCTCCACACATGATCATCTCCGGCGCTCACTACACACTCTCCACACATGATCATCCACGGCACTCACAACGCACTCTCCACACATGATCATCTCCGGCACTCACAACGCACTCTCCACACATGATCATCCGCGGCACTCACAACGCACTCTCCACACATGATCATCTCCGGCACTCACAACACACTCTCCACACATGATCATCTCCGGCACTCACAACGCACTCTCCACACATGATCATCCGCGGCACTCACAACGCACTCTCCACACATGATCATCTCCGGCACTCACAACACACTCTCCACACATGATCATCTCCGGCACTCACAACGCAATCTCCACACATGATCATCTCCGGCACTCACTACACACTCTCCACACATGATCATGTCCGGCACACACAACGCACTCTCCACACATGATCATCTCCGGCACTCACTACACACTCTCCACACATGATCATCTCCGGCACTCACTACACACTCTCCACACATGATCATCTCCGGCACTCAATACACACTCTCCACACATGATCATCTCCGTCGCTCACTGCGCACTCTCCACACATGATCATATCCAGCACTCACTACACACTCTCCACACATGATCATCTCTGGCGCTCACTACACACTCTCCACACATGATCATCCACGGCACTCACAATGCACTCTCCACACATGATCATCTCCGGCACTCACAACGCACTCTCCACACATGATCATCCGCGGCACTCACAGCGCACTCTCCACACATGATCATCTCCGGCACTCACAACACACTCTCCACACATGATCATCTCCGGCACTCACAACGCACTCTCCACACATGATCATCCGCGGCACTCACAACGCAATCTCCACACATGATCATCTCCGGCACTCACTACGCACTCTCCACACATGATCATCCCCGGGACTCACTACACACTCTCCACACATGATCATCCCCGGGACTCACTACGCACTTACACATGATCATCCCCAGCACTCACTAACTTGCACACCAATCTTACCCGATCGTCCCCGTGCGCGTCAACAGCACAGCACTTGAAGCGGCCGCGCGGCGGCAATGGCTCCTTCTCCAGTCGACACGTACACGGCATGGGCCGTTCACTTGCTGGCAATGACGACTACAAAGACAAACAGCATAGACGCCAAAACATAGGAGCACGAGCCATCGACTTCTACATTCAGCAGCACAGCGTTCAACCGATTGTTGAAAGCGGCTTTCGTTTGAAACAGAGCTTGTACAGACCGGCTGCTACAACAGCATTACCAGTGTCACACCACATGAAGCCAAGCAGACTCAATCCAGTGATTTTTTTAATGGAAAAATTTAGGGGTGAAACAATTATACCGAATACTCGAGTACTCGCTCGGTTTTTTCAAAAATAATCGTACTCGGAATAAATTAGAGTACTCGTTCATACATGGTACATGCATTTACCACAGAAATCTGCAGTTTCAGAGCAGCAGTGGGCAGATATCGACGTGCAGACTGTGTGGTGAACATTTGTTCACGAGTAGAGAGAGCCCAAATGACCCACCAACCAATATACCTGAGAAAAATGACTTACACTCGGTTCAATCAGGGTTGTATCATGTAATTTAAAGCCCTTGGTGTGCAATTTTTAGGAGATGAAGAATACTCGAATATTCGATCGGAGAAAATCAGAGTACTCGAACTCGGGATCTCAGTGCCAACTTTCACCCCTAGAAAAATTACAACAAATCACTTCTTATCAGATGGCAACACCCATGTACTTATTCAGCGGGTGAGGAAAAACATGTCCACCAGTACATGGAACGTAACATCATGAGTAAGCGTTCCCAATCTGTAAACAAAGTGTTCATATTGGGAAATGAATTCAATCCGCCTGCGTACGGTTACACAATCGTCATTGTCATGGTTCTGACAGGGTGGCCGCTTAGCCTAGCTCACATGCAATGGATGAAAATTCATTAGCTAGATACCTTGAAAACCAATACAATACGGTGGCGGGGCACCTTCCTTACCGTAGCAACGGTGTCTTTGTCGCCAGCATCCGAGATGCCATGGGCGGGATATCGAGCACTGGACCCCGTGCCACAGGCCCTGTCCTGCCCCAACTGACCAACGTCGTCGCCAAAGCCAGGCTGAGACGTGCCGGCGGGGCTCTGAGAGCCGTGCTGTTCCGGCCGGTCCTGACCATTGGCGTGGCATGGCACGCTGTCCACACTCTTTGTGACAGCATCCTCCAATGCCGCTGCAGCAGCAGCAGCTCGGCTCAGTGGACACGCGGAGTGCGCAGACGGGGCGTCGGAATCGACTTCGCTCGACTCGTCACTTGATCCTTGGCACGGCTCGTTGCTATCAGGTGACATGGTGACAGAGCAGTTGACATTGCTCAGCTCCACCTGCATGGACTCCATGGGTAGTGGTGACGTGTCGTCTTCCTCTCCACCGATTGGCAGCAGAAACGTGGAGACCGACAAGGCGTCACACACATCCTCCATTGCCTCTACTGCTTCGCTAGTGTACGCAGCGTTCACCGGCGTTGGCTGTGCATTGCGTAAACGTAGGCCCGGCACAGGCGAGCACTGGCTCAAGTCGCTCAGCGAGTCCAGCGCCAGCATGATATCAGGTGATGAGGACACAGATGTAGCACAGGCACCACCGCGCTCTGGATCACTAGCACAAGCAGCAGGTGCAACAGCGGCGATGGCAGTGCAGGCATCGTCGTCGTCGCTCCAGCACACATCCAACGCCGGATCAAGCATCTCCACCGACTCCTCAGAGTCGGACTCGAGCGACAGAGTCAGCGGCGGTGACGACAGGGTAGATGCCAAGGAGCAGGGCGAGGCAGGAGATGTTGCTCCTGACATTGCTGCCGCTACTTCACGGTCCACCTTATCATCACCTGCACCCTCACCAGCATCATCTACATGCACAACACTCCTAGCCTCGCTGGAGTGCTCTTGATTGACAACATCGAAAGATGGCCTATGGGAGCCAGAAAATCGAACAACCAGCTCCACGGCTGACTCGGTGGACTCAGTAGCATCGCTACATTGTGCAGATGATGAAAGTGACGTATCATGCTTGTGACTAGGCGCATTGCACGGTCTCAGCTGCCCCGTGGCTAAGAGATCAAACACATTGCGAGAGCCAGCAGTGGTTAGAGCACTTTGACCAGAAGTAATCAGAGATGATATCCTGGAATGGCATGGGGTTGACTCAGCAAGCGTTGATTGGCTCTGTGTTGAGTTACCTGAGTTACATGTCAGTTCAGCCTTGCACTTGTGCTGAGCTGTGGAGCTGCTTGGCCCAGCAGGTGACCATTTCACGGCCTCCTTGGCATTTTGACCAGAGAGTTCGAAACCAAGGCCGTTCATTTGCTCTGCTACCGGAGTGGATTCTGCACGTTCATCGACAGTTGCTCCTGTCTCCATTGACAGATCCACGGACATCAGAGACAGCGTGGAGAACGCCGCGTCACTGCCACCACAGCTATGACCATCGCTAGTACTGCACTGCTGCTGCTGCTGCTGCTGCTGTTGTTGATGATGCTGCTGTTTCTCACCTTGAAGATGCATTGGCACACTACCAGCATCAATTTCACCACACAACCTAGCATTGAAGTCAGTAGAGGCAACACCATTGGCTGCATCAGCACGCACCACACCATCGTCAGTAGAGGAATCCTCCAGGCAATTCAACTTGACTCCCGATTGAGAAGAATGTACAGCGGCTGTCTTCCTCTCAGGTTGCGTTGATGCTGTGCTGCTAATCTCTATAGTTGTAAAGTCAAATTCAGCCGGCTGCACCCACGCTTTGTCATTGGCCCATGCTGGTATGGGCGCATCCAGCGTTTCGCTCTTGCTGTCCTCAGCAAACAAATCAGAGTACAAGCGACCAGAGCGGCGAGGATCAACGGGTCTTGTCCGCGTTCTCGCCGCGGAGCATTGTGACAGTGGTGGAGATTCTGTTACCGACTCGGCCAAGCCAGTTGAGGCTGTACGTGGCGGAGTATGTGGCCTTGCTGTAACAGCTGCCGGTGGCTCTTGTATATGTGGAGTGCCAACAGAGCTGTGTCTGTTGGATACCGTGTCAGTACTCTTGGCAGAAGCGAACATTTCAGGGCTCGAGTTATTCGACATAGTCGCCTTCGTTGTGACTTCTTCCTTGGTGTGTTTCTGATTAGGTGATTGTTGCCGGCATACTGTTCCGGACCTGCTGGCACGGTCAGCTTTTCCAGCTTTGGGCAGGTTACCAGAGTATGTCCTGGGTGGTGTCTTCAATGTGCTTGTATTCGTTGTTGATGATCCTCTCGCCTGCTTTGCCTTAGGAGAACGAAGTTTGTCCGTCACTTCGCCTCGGCTGCTGGAATTGGCAATTTTTCCAACTTCAGAACGCTTTACTGAGTTTGGCTTGGCTGGTCTTGCTGAAGAAGCTGCTATGTCCTTCTTACACTTTTTACGGGGAGAATCAAGCTGGCTGGGCATTTCATTGAGGTTGTTGACATTCGCAGTTCGTCCTTCTGAACATGTCTCTGCCTCGGGAGTTGCAACACTCGGAGTGCACCGAGGGTTAGGGCTAGTTGCTGGAGGAACTGGCCGGTGCCAATCATAGGTCGGAACCGTTCGAACGGCGCCGGCGTTAGTTGCCGGGATGCTCCGCAAGACTACCGGAGATTCAATAGACTGAGTAACTGATCCCTCCTTGTCCGTCTTACTTGCTGATACAGCCGTGGTTGTACAAACACCAGACGACACACAAACGCTCTTCGTCGAAAACGGCACAAATGGTTTGGCATCGAGCGGCTTGTCCTCAACTGGTGCAGTGTCAGGAGGCGGCGGCGGAGGTGACAGCGCTGCAGAAGGCAGAATGGAGTGCGGCACTTCGGGCTTAGCACAAGGTGCAGCGTCGGCTACAGTGCTCTCGGGCATGGACTGAGCGAAAGAAGGCTGTGCGGTGGGGACGGCTGCTCTACCACCAGAGGCTGACACCAGCGGCAAGGAAACCGGCACGAATGGTTCCGCACACAACACTGCAGTAGCAGAGGTACCTCTTTGCTTGCACGCAGCCATGGCTGGTTTGGCATATGCACAAGCATCAGATGACGAAGGGCATTGCTCAGGAACTGGCACGAAATGCTTGGCAGCCACAGCAGGGTCGACTGCACTTGGCTCGGAATGTTGCGCAATATGGTCAACAGATCTATCCGGTAGTACTGCACAATTAGCTTGAGCAGTAGGAGGCACATGCGCTGGATGCTTCTCGGAGTAACAGGGCAATTTTGTACTACTCAAGTCTGTTTGCTGGACATGTACTTGTTCAATGGGATTCTCAGAGTCAGACCCCAACATCCCCACCGACTGCTGTGACACTACTGGCGAACAATGGTCAAGAGCTTCTGACGAGGTCCGCATGCGAGCACGAGTCCGAGAATCCCTGGAAGAGTGGCTGGAGCTACATCGAGAAAAGTCGCTGCTGCCGTGATCGGACGTTTGGCATGGTGACTTCGGTCCAGAATGAAAGCGATTGCGACGAGCTCTGCAGGGCGGTGTAACTAAGGACGTATCACCAGGTGTGCTCGTGTCAGATGCGCATGGCCGAAAAGAAAACTGAGCGTCGTGCATCAGAGACGATGTTGAAGAATCGCTTCCATCTGGCGAGAATGGCTGAGTGCTACTGTCCAGGAGATAATCGTCGGCTGAAGAGATGCCAGAACTGCTGGTGCTTGACACTGAGCTTAGGCCAGGCAAGCGAGGACTGGTACTGTCTAAACCATCCAACCGCAGTTGTTGCCGATACGCTGCCTGCTGCTGCTGCAGCTTCTGCAGCACAGCCGGTGGTAATAGGCCAGTCTGCAGGTACTGGGAATTCTGCACCACAAGGTTGACAAGAGTTGCCGCGATCATCTGCTGCTTTGAGTGTATGACCTTAGCAGCCAGCTGCTGATTGACGATCTGTTGCCGTGCGGTGATATCACTCAGTGCCGTTAGGAGACTGGCCTGCAAAGCTGCCTGTGGCAAACTCCCTGATGAAGCCGCAGCAATCAGCTCGGCAGGCGACATTGCTGGAGGAGGAGAACCCATTATGCCATTACCCAGTACCGGTGGGCGCTGCTGCTGCTGCTGCTGCCGATGTGGCTGAGCCAGAAATGCTGGAGGTGACACCACGGGCTGCGCTGGAGTAGGTGGTGGTGGTGGTGGTGGTGGAGACGCCAGTGGAAGAGAGCCAGGATAGACTGGTGGCTGGGAGGGCGCAGGTGTGCCTGGAGCGGCGGCGCATACCGGGGGAGGTGGAGGAGGCGGAGGTGCTAAACCGTTTACATCCTCATTGAGCCGCTGAGCAAATGGCACATGGTCCGCTTGTACAGAGGGTGGGCATAAGCCCACTGATGCTACTGATGCTTGCTTGCTGCTGCTACTGCTGCTGGCCATGGCAGAGTAACAAGCCGAGTGTCAACTATGCATGCGACTGTGACCTGGGAGTACAAAACAAACAAACACACACACACACACACACACACACACACACACACACACACACACACACACGTGCGCACACACACACACACACATACACGCACACACACGCACACACACACACACACACACACACACACACACACACACACGCACACACATCATTTTCAAAACGTCAAATTCATACTTCCTAGCACTTTCCGGCATAATAGGCGCAAGAGAAGAGTAGCAATTTGCGGTGTTCCAGCAAAATCTGTACTTCCGATGGGCGGCGCCACCAAATAAGCCACTGACAACGGCACAATAGAAACTGTCAAGGGCAACACCCTGATACTAGTACAGTGGTCCCTTTATAATCTGGCACCATTTGTGCTAAAGAAATTCTGCTGGATTAGGGAGGGTGCTGGAGTAACAAATCTGATCTACTGCTGCAATGTGCATGAAGAGGACATTTTGGCTAATGAAAATTGTGCTGGCTTATAGAGGGTGCCGGTTTATAAAGTGCCGGATTAAAGAGGGATGACTGTATACAAGCACCTGTACACGGAAGACCGCTAGAGCCTAAGACAACAAGTTATTTCCAGCCAAAGGACCCAGAATAAGGAGACCAACTGCATGCGTGGACTCGTTTTCGGGTCCCCCGTCCATGATCACTTCGATGCCCCAATATGCCCATAAGACGCCCCAATATGCCCATAAGACGCCTCAAACAGCATCACCGCATTTCCCAGAGTATAAGCCACACTTTGAACACTCAAAACCCCCCCCCCCCCCCGCCAACAAACAAAAAAAGGGGGCACGGCTTATACTCCGATGATCAAATTAACGGTGATAAATAGGATAGATGTCTGTATTTCGTGGCACAAGAGGGGGGGGGGGGGGTGCGGTGTATGCTCCGGAAAATACAGTATAACACCCAAGAGCGTGCAACTCCTGATTGGTCTCAGTACAGGAGCCTGCACGTTGGAATTCTTTCATTGTGTGATGGCCAGTGCACTGGCATGACTCACGCCGCTGAATCCATCAAAAATCTGTTGTCAAACTGCGTAGCTTCGTCTGGGTCGCCTACCCCAAAACTGTGATCCTAATTAAAGTCCTCCGCTGTGGTCTAAGCGCAGCTAGATGATGCTTGACTTCAGAAGGATTACTTTCTCGCTGTCACATCAAGCTGCGCCACCTTCGACCATGTAAGAAGCACTCGTAGAGTCGGCTCTTCAGAAATACATTACAGCTACTGTAGACAGTTTCCTTTGAGACAAGAATGCGATAATACTCAGAAAACGGACACACTTCAGGCTCTTTACGAACATCTTGAAAGTTGTTGGTTTCACTAGTATACTTTCAAGCCAGTTGGGGTTATGAAGTACAATGTCCATTGGCATGCCGGGGGGGGGGGGGGGGGGGTACGAAGTACAATATCCTCATTTTGTCCACTGCTGAAGTCTATTCATGAATTCTTTTGCTGGAAAAATGCGAGAAGGCTCGTGTTTTGAGCCCGATTCTTCTTCAAAACGCATTGTCAAGCATGTACCAATGCAGATTTGCTGACATGATACGTACAATGTTGAGGCCGCTTGGTTGGAATTAGGAGCGGTTCCAGCTATTCATAAGTTTCAGGGAGTTGCAAATGGCAAACCTTTATACAGCTAGTTTGCAGAAATCGCAAGGAGTCAAAATCTACCTCGGATGGGTCCCATCTCCATGATGTTCTGTACGAATTGGGTGGGTCGACTTTTTCGAGATAAGGTCCAGACACGGCCTAAGCAGCTGGACTGGGTGCTACAGCACTGATGTATGATAAGATGCGTCCGTCCAAGGGTCAAATTGTGTGCGTGTAGCAATATTGCACGGAGAAAATGAGTTTCCCTAGCAGTATCGCGAAACAATGCGTGCTATGCAAGACCGTTGGTTGGCTTTGTCTATGGCAACAGTCATGTGGGTTACAATCTTTTTTCCTTACACGCTTTATGTCAACTCACAAATCAAAAGGGGGGGGGGGGGGGGGGAGCAGATAGATAAACATAAAATGCTTCTTGTCCTGACCCTAAAGCCACAGATTGGCAATACCAAAATGTCTTTATTTTAATGAGTTTTATCAAAAGAACATTGTGTAACCAAAGCGAAGTCAGAGGCAATAATGTCGACACAAAATGGCAGTAATGGACCCCTCAAGTAACACGTTACTGGCTCTAGCACGCCAATATTTCGGGCAGCATTCATGGTGGACTTGCATTCTCCTACGCTGCAGCCACTTTTATCATCAGGATCAGCAGACTTTTCGGAATGCATAATTAATTATAACCTATGCCAAATTCGAGCATTGCACCAAAGAATATTTTGGAAGTATTAGGAAATTAAAGGCCACATTCCTCGTACTGCTCTTTTCTCTCTGAAACTCAACACTTGCAAGCCAGATACGAAAGAAAGAAAAAATCATCAGTCACACCGCCCTCTTATTTCCTAATACAGTGTACTTTGAAATTCTCCGTGAAGTTCAAATTTGAAATAGAAAATATTGTGGAAATTTGAAAAAATCAGTTCCACAGGCTTTATTTTGTCGACACTTGAAGTGATACGTTAATTAAAGTAACCATCGGTTAATGTACATAATACAGTAAATAGTGGATATAACGTGCCCCTTTGATTTTCGATAATTTATCACTATATCCGGTGCATCACTATAGCCGATTTGCATGTATGACTGACACATGGCACATGACTGTGCATGAAATGATGCGTACATGCTGGAAAAAGCATGAAAAGCAGCCACGTGTACATGTGGCTGCTTACAGCATACAGGGAAGAATTTTCTCTCTGCTGCCTGATGCATCCAGGCAACACTGGATCAGTTTTGGCAGAAGTGAACTATATTAGAAGAACACTTGTTTTGTGATCATCACTCTTGATCAGTATATGCGATATTTTCCTGTGCATTTGGTATGGTTTGCTTCCTGAAGCCCATCACAAGCGATATATCGGTATAGCTGATAATAATGTGTAGTGATATTTTAGCTGTATTTTTTTGTGATTTGATTTTGATTTTGGCGAGTTCTATCATTATAGCCGGTATATCGTTACACCCGGTCACTTTATAAACGATACTCACTGTACAGCTGAATCATCATTCAAATAATATTTGAATCATGAAATACTCAATCTGCGGACAGCATGCTGTTTCGTTCTTTGTGAACTCAGCAGCGCAGCTTATTTAAAATATTTTAAAATAATATTTTGATATTAGCTGCGCTGCTGAGTTCACAAAGAACGAAACAGAATGCTGATTGAGTATTTCGCTCCTGCTCTTGTAGTAGTTGTTGAGCATTCTCATGTGGGGCAGTGCCTCCGCTGTTTGCAATACGCAGGGCTCACTGACTTGTCAGTCTGAGCACTCTGGCAAGGTACATTCGGGCCTGGATTAAAATCTGACTTTGGAAAAATTAAATTTCATTGTGCTGATGAGTTCACAAAGAACGAAACAGCATGCTGTCCGCAGATGGTGTAAATAAAATACTAGTATATAATTTTAGTAGAAAAGCAATTATCAACTTATAATCAAGAGTCAAAAGTACCCAATGGCAATGCATTAATGGAACAGCACCTGCACCTTACAATCGACCTTTAGCATGCCAGTGTGATTCCTGTCTATTTGTATTCGAAACCTGCATGTGCGACCTGCATGTGCTTGTAATTTACCGGTATAGCGTGGTAACATCACACCATGTGGCCATAAACTCTGACAATCAGCCTCTCGCTTTCTGTTCTTCATGATTGTGGTTTTACAAAAGAAATACATAGGATGAAAATGAGCATACGGGAAGAGAAAATTACTCACGGATCTACGATAGTCCGGTCTCCTCAAACGTGCACAATTGAATCCCACATGGTCATGGCACTGAATATCGTCAGTCTATTTCGAGGGGTGTTGCTTCAAACAGCCACCCTGCCACCGTCTTCAACTACTAGTAGGTTCTGTAATTTTACTTGAGTTCAACTCCTGCACACAACTACAAGTAACTAAAAATGTACCTCTAATCGCTCACTTTAGCAATCAGGAGGGTTCAAGCCGGGGAAATACGGTTTTTCATACAGGGCCTTACTTTCAAGTCTTCCAGTAGCAAAAAGTGTAGGTCTTTTGAGAACGAACTCGCTCCCCAGTCACACAGGGTCAGATGCAACTCCAACTGAGTTCTGCAAACCACACAAGAACACGGGTCTACGGCCGGCCTGCCTGCTTCACAGCTGCGGAAATCCAAACAAAAAAAGTCAAACTGACTCATGCATACTCTTGTCCCGAAACCGTCAACCCGTTCTCGTAGTCGTAGCAGTGGCAGCGCCTGCCAGGCGCTTCGCGTACACGTGAATCTTGTGCTTTTTCTAGTTGTTCGCGTGGCCACGTCTGATGATCGGTTTTATATTTCTAGACTGGACAAACGTGCACGCGTGATGTGATGTGTTTGACCGAGCACAAAGCCCGCTAAAGATTCAAAATTAAAATTTTAATGTTCTTCAAAGCGGGGATCGGGGAGTAGTAAAATACCCCGCAGGGAGTTGTTCAGCCTGCTGACTACTGTCGTACTGATCTTCAGGAACCAATTACTTGGGTCTCCACGCATCCTGTCTATGCTTTTGTAATGCTATTAAACATACTAGTATTAGTAGTATAGTAGTAATGCTCGGGATAGCACTCGCTACTGATCTTCAGAAACTTGGCCTGACTCTCACAGACTGTTGTAATGCTCATCGTTCTCAAGCGGTCGCTGGTTTCTCCCACAATTTCATCGTCTACTGTTGTACGACATGCTATACGACATCCTTATACCGTACAACACCGTATTGATATCATGATGTCTTTGATGCATAATTGCATCGATGGTACGGTAAGGGACAGGTACGGGATAGCGTATGCATGCCGATGGCACAAACAAACACGTGTGGACCCTGGGTCCCTGGCTAGCGCCAGACACTGAAGTAACGTCTTTTGCATTACTACAGGAATAGTAATGACTAGTAACCTGATAAGAGTATAACTATACCTATAGTATACTAGTAAGCTCCCTGGGAGCTAATTGATTTACTCTTGCTGACACTGTAGAAGCCCCATACCAGGGGTAATACCGTATAAAATAGATATACTGTAGTATGGATCCTGAAACCAACAAAGGCAAAGGTGGCAGGTACAGCAATACACCTTCAACTTGTTCAAGCAGCCGTGGAGCAGCAGGATAGACCGTGCCAGCCACTATACTACTACTAGCAAGAGTGCATAAACATGGACTCTTGCTACTAGCACTAGCATGTTTACATCGAAATATAAATAATTAATTGGAGGAGCCTTGGCGAACTCCAATTGGAGTTCTACGAGCCTCCTCGTAGCATCCAGGAGCACTGTGCATGCCTAAGTCATGCACAGTAAGTACGTACTTACTGTGCATGACTTAGGCATGCACAGTAAGTACGTTTTTTCTTTGCGGATCTGTGGCTATTGCGTACCGAATATCTCAAGTAAGAACGTACTTACTGTGCATGACTTAGGCATGCACAGTGTGACTGGATGCGGAGAGGAGGTGAAGTAGAACGCAGGACATCTTGCACCACCAGGTGAATCCTCAAAGAAACCAGTACAGTACTACAGTCTACTATACTGGTCATCTACACGGAAAGATATCTCACAAAAGTCAAGAGGGCCGTATTGCGCTTACGTTAGCAAAGGCTCAATCATTCAGCAACATATGCATAAAAAGAAAGACGGAAGCACGTGGACATGGCATGACAACGTAGCATAGAAACAGAGTGTAGATGCTACGATAATTATAGCACAGTATGACAGAGACCGAGCACTCCTATCACTGGAGGCAACATTCGTGTGTTACGTGAAGGCAGAAAAAAAGAAAAGAAAAAAAAGCTCAGTAAATACTGGCCAAGTGAGAAACCATGGTGGAGTTTGTGATGATCAACAACGAATACAAAGGCCTCTCTCGGAGGGTTGAAACAAGCAAGAAGTACGTTCACATGCCCAAAACAGAACTAGAAGAGGCAACGATAAATTAACAATAGGTCTGCAACTCCACCGAGGGGATAACAGAAATATAAGAAAAACAGGAGTTGATAACTAAAAAAGGAGAAGTAGTTAGCTTGGGCCATCTATGATGCTGAGACCGGGTAGAACAAACACCAGCAGTATGTACACGCAACACTATGCAATCGCCTACACAGATAGGACACGTAAAAACGTCGTCAAAACAGCACTGAACTAAACAACAGAAAAAAAACGACGGACAGTAAGGGGGATGTAGGAGAATCTCGTTGTTGGCTAGGGGCTGGGAGCGACAAACCGCCAACAGGCAACATTAGGGCACTGCAGCCAGCATGTTTCAAATCAGGAAAGTGCTATAACACGGAAAATCGGATAGGTTCTATGTACAAATGCTAGGAGACTTGACAAGCAGCCATCTGCAAAAACACAGGCAGCAGCACACTGGAGAGAGTTACCGAGATTTTCTTGAGTACCATTTTTTGCAACTCTTGACTCAGGAAAGGCACACTCGCGCCACTGGCTGCACAGGGTAAGATGGCGACATTAAGTTAGCCGTGTACTTGCCGCAGTTGCCAGGGTGACACGAACAAAATGTCTATATAGGAATAGCGCGTGTGCAGCAGTACATCGATAATCCATGGTCAGATTTAAGATGCTGCTGCTGTACCAGCAGGCTTCGACAGCATTCGCTGGATAGTGCTCTTGGCATAACCCAACCGAGTCCAGAGTGCCTCCGAGCAGCCGTGTGTCTCGACAAGCGAGAAGCGGAACGTGCGGAAGCTGCGATCCTCGTCGATGAAGGTCACCGCCTGCATGCGCGGGCACAGGATGAGCTTGGTGTGGTCGGCGAAGAAGTTTATCTGCAGGATGCCGTTGGTCAGCTGCAGGACAATGGCGCTGCGCGTTCTGAACCAGGTGTTGAGCATTGGCAAGCGAGAGTTCTCGTAGCTCTCCGGCACTTTGGCAGCGCCAGCCTGTTGTTGAGCAAGAACAGAAAAATCAAGCCAAGACGTGACTTCACTTAGACTGCAACCGGAAAGCAGTGTTCTAACAAACACGACTGACGAGGAATTTAGAGTGCAACTGCCAGCAAGAAGGTAATAATAAGTATTAACAACAGCGCATTGATTGACAACTCGGCTCACTCACAAATAGACTGCACAGGCCTGCTTACCCGTAATAAGTGCTGGTTCATGTAATTGCGGAAGTACTTGAGCAGCGTAATTTTCTTCTTCATGGCCTCCGGGTACTTTTCCGTCGTCACAAACGCTTCATTACCAGTGCGATCCACATACTGTACACTCCTGTAAGGGAAAAAAGAGAGAGAATAAGCAGCAGACAGATGTGTTCAGTACACATTAAATACCCAACAAGTTGCTGAACAAAAGCAGGACCAGTGTCAGCCGTGTCTTGAATTGCTATGACATGTGACGACACGTGATGTCATTTTCTTGAATAGAGTAAATCAAACAATCTTCCTGAACCCAAAGTGGATTCTTCCCGCACAATTGGCCCGACTGCATAGTGAAAGAATTTCAAAGAATAGCTGTAAAATTACAGTGCTTCACCAGAGTGCAAACACCGAATCAAGGGTGTCTACTCTTGTTGCTAATCAATCAAAGTCGCATAAAGTTGATTACTGACATGGCGGCATAGAGCCTTCTTTTTTAGATTTAAAAAATCTTGCCAACAACAATGAATCGAGTGAGATCAAGCAGTGCAAAGTACAGTGTGAGACAGCATGTGAAGGCAAAAGTGATTAGGATTAGTCTCTTACGTGTCGTTGGCGGCCAAGAGCATTCTTGTCGAGTCGTTGAAGAGCACGCCCGCACTGCTATCACAGAGCGTGTAGCCAAAGCCATACTTATCACTGTAGTCGACCCACTTGCCGACCCAGAAAACAGGACACACGGCTGGATCTTCGGCATCATCTAGACACACGAGTGAAATGAGAGAATTGAGACAATGTTCAATATCCCATGCACAACAAACGAACACGGCTGCACTCAAGGTGGTGAGTGGTGCGAGCCGATAAGTGGGAATTTTTCTAAGTCCACCGGTGACCCAGAGTTTGGAGATTTCAGGGGTGTCAGCCATTGGGCAGTTCACTAGCCAACTGAATCATCCTTTCAATATTCCTTTTGAATCTCTCTACCCTCTTCGGGGGGGGGGGGGGGACCCATGTGACCAGGTGATGACATGGAGCAAGTACAAGTATGTGTGTGTGTGTGTGTGTGTGTGTGTGTGAGTGTGTGAGTGAGTGAGTGAGTGAGAGAGAGAGAGAGAGAGAGAGAGAGAGAGAGAGAGAGAGAGAGAGAGAGAGAGAGAGAGAGAGAGAGAGAGAGAGAGAAAAGAGTTCATGGACAGAGCACATCCATGACCAGACTCAATACACCTCAGCAGCACACAGTTGAGTACTAAACGCATACCTTCAAGCAGGAGGCTGAGGGAGGGAGATCATAGCAGCCTCACACCAAACTAACAGGGAAATACGCAGTACACTGACTCACCGAAATGTGCCGGACTCTTTTTAGTAGGCTCTGATGAAAGGACGCTGTTGACTTGCGCGAGAAGCTCCTCCAAGAACACCTCGCATGACGGTTCTACACAGAGGAAGACCACATACCCACGTCACAGCAGCAAGCCACACATCATATTGTACTGAATAGGCACGCTTGCGGCGGACAAACAGTGGTGACAGAATCAGTTACTCTTGGTGGTAGACGGCTACCGTATGACGTGACACACGTGTTCAGTTCACTCTCACCTGTTGCGACATCCTTGGTTTCGGACTGCGGGAACGATACTGTTTGTGCGTAAGCGCCCTGCGTAGTTTCCTTCTTGACACCAGCCGGTGCTGCCGCAGGCGTGTTGTTCTCCTGCAGAGGACGCTTCAATGCTGTCGTGGATGGAAGAGCTGAACATTGACAACACAGGAAAATCATAATCATTTGATGGGAGGCAAAACTCAAGCGATTCCTAAGAGAGATACCACCAACAGTTTCACCAATACCCATCCACATACCGACACCACTTTTATAAGGCTTGAAAATACTACGTCATAGCCAGCCCGGAGTCATGACAACGCTGACTTTTGGATCCAGTTTTTCTATGGATCCATACACGTTTGGGTCGTTTTCCTTCACAGCAGCGCGACTCATCCACTGGTAGTAACCGGGCTGGGCTCTCCTGGTTGGGAGCCCACTCCTGGTACAGAAAAACGCATACCTGCATGCGGGACTAGGGGCCTAACCATTACATACTGTACTTTGCTAAGACCTGAGTGGATCCAACTAATTGACCCAGAAGTCATAATGAGAAGGAGAGCTCTGTGCTAGAACTTTGCAGCTTAGAGAGCGTGTGTTTACCGCCATATTACCAGGTGTGTCTTTACCACCATATTTATCAACCATAAGTACAGCTGCAGTGGTGTCTTCAACTTCATTCAGAAGTCAGAACTTGTCAATATTTGTTGACTTTTTGACATCATCCCTATCAAGCTCTATTGCGTGATTTGTGATGGACATACCTTCCTGCTCGTAGCGCGGAGGCATAGTCAGGGAGCTTATCGGAAGACGTTGCGGGCAGAAGCCCTCCGTGAAGAAGGGGTCCTTTAGGATCTCATCGGGCGATGGTCGTCCTGATGGGTCCGGGTGCAGCATGCGTACAATGAGACTTTGCGCTGCAGGGCTAACCTGCAAATGTACACATCAAAACAGAATGAAAACATTAGAAGGATGAAGAAGGAACCACTAGATACGATTTATCGTAAGATACTTTCCTCCAACTTCATCAAAAAGAGCAGTTACGCGTAGGTACGAGAGAAAATAATAAAAATATTGCGCGAGCACAGGGGCATTCCCGGATGATAACTGCATTGAAGGCACTAGCCACGAGTGCAGATATCAGAGCTGGTACTTCCCGAATGTAAGGGAAAAATATTCAAATATTTCATTTATTGTATGGTCGTATCCCATGGGATTGCTACATGGCATGCACAGCACTTGACCGCTTGTGTACTGTAAATATACAAAATTTCGGCGCTGCAAAATTTCGGCACTTCACGATTTTTGACATTTCGGCGGCGATTTATTTTCGGTGTGGGGTAGAGGGCATGGTATAGTGCAACAGATGCTGTGAAAAATTTCATCGGCGTTTTAATTTAGGCGTTTTGGGTCGGTGCCGAATAGCCGAAATTAAATAGCTGCCGAAAATTTGTATATTTACAGTATAGATAAATATGGCCATACAAGTAGAATATTACTTGGGTGCTTACATAAAGGTCAGTTCAAGAGTTCAAATTCTGTGTACGGCACGGTACAGAACAAAATCAATGGGTTTTCCGGCATCAAAACTACTGCATGCTCTGCAAGACCGCTAATTTGTTCGATCTAGAAACATGAAACTGTCACGCGGAATGCAATACATCATTCTTGTACTCGGGGCTCATGTACAATGGTGGCAAGTGACATCCGACCCACTGGAGCGGTGCACTGACACTACACCAACACAGCACACCACCACAGCAGCCTCAAAGCATTGACAAATGCATAGCTCACAACTGCTGCACCGCACGCATGCCATATCTTGCAGTCACACCGTGAGCAAACAGGGGTGTATACAGTAATCGTAAACAGTACAACAGCACACACATGTGTGCTCTGCAGAAGTACACCCACGTAAGCAAGACCAACAAGTAAAAAAATATCGTGCCCCCCCCCCCCCCCCCCAGCCAGCAAGTGAATGCCATGAAATTTGATCAAGCTTTGCTGTCATGCTGCCAAGGGGTATGCACACTACTCGCTACAATTTCCTTTAGTTCTGCAGCATTCGTACGTAAACATCCCGGGTCGCATTTCAGTTGCCACCGCTGTTACCGAAAATCCATCTGTAGTATAATTTACTATAAAGGTTGTCCAGGCGAGGTCAGACAGGTCATGGATGTGCTACCTCAGGTGCACATTTCATCCATATTTGGATAAATTTCCAACATCTTTTCGTTCTAAATACGGACTATCAGTACTAGAGCTGTGACCCTGGATGCCCTCTATACACATGTCATCCTGATGAATAACCTTGCTGAAACTACCTAGTCTGACTGCTGGGAAAAGAATGCCATCCTCTTTTCTCAATCCTGGTCACGCCACTACAAACACATACCTGGTTGGGGATGTTGTACTTGTTTGACCGAATGCGACAGAACGTCTCTTTCAGTGTGTCCATCTCAAACGGCGGGTGTCCGACAAGTAAAACATACCTAGCAGAAGACAGCAAAGCCAAGAAACAGATAATCATAGGCTGTCTGGAGCTTAGAAAAACGAAACTTGTAGGCAAACGGAACCGACGCGTGGCTTTGAGAAAGAGGTTGCACGTGATTCAACAACAGACAGACTGTCAGAAAGGTCCGGACATGTCTTCTACAGGTATCAGACTCACACGATGAACTATAGTACGAGGCAGGAAAGAAGAAGAAGAAGAAAGAAAACCAAAATCAACACTGAAAAGCTGGATGTCCCATTTCCTACATGTTGCCGGCATTCAAGTCTCTGACACAGCAATGTCTGCATCTGTGTAGAGTGGTTTCACATCTGTCACATGACCATACAGGGCAGCCATGCTGGGTCCAACTCCACTCAACCCTTGCATCTATGGGTCATGTGATGTCGGTGGCCATGTTGGTTCCAGTGTTCACATGGCATGATCACTTTCTGCACAAATTTAGTCACATGACAAACTGATGTGAACACCACTCTATAGCACCCAGATTGCACTGCAAAAAGCTGAACATTCAAAGGCGAGTACTGTAAAACATGTAATTGTCGGTGTAACTTTAATTTCGGTAGAGAAACCAGGCACCTAAATTTAAATTACACCTAAAAGGCACTAGAGAGTATGCACTGTATGTGAACTTGTGAAGGGAACGCTGGTCACCTAATTCTAAATTACACCTGAAACCTGGCAGGTCCCTGGCACCGAAATTTTAATGCACCTAAAATTACACGTTTTACTGTATGCAAACACTTACATAATGCATCCAATGGCCCATACATCCACCTCGTAGCTGTGTCCCTTGTGCTTGAGAACCTCCGGTGCTACATAGTTAGGGGTTCCGCACATCGTGCTGCGTGCGGAGAGACAGATCGCATACACCAGCACAACATAAACACAATCAGACACACAGCAAAGAGGGATTACAGCTGGAGCTTTGAGTGTTTCTTGTCACGTCAACAGCTGTTCGTTTGAGAGTTGGGGATCACGTTATGTTCGCTTCCCGAGCATGGAATTCATAGAAGCAGCTGATATGTATTAAAGTGGTTCGCTCTACCACTGGAAGCTCTGCCCTCCGAGGTATTGAGCACGAACCACGGATAAACCACTTCTGCTACAGCAGAGAGGAGAGCGTGCATGCACAGAAAAGGCTCTGGGGACGGAGACTCAGAATTAGAGGACATCTAACCTGGGCGACTGTCAGTTTCTTGGGTGCGGACTTTCTTACAGTATCGTATGCATGGGTTCCTGGAATAGGAGTTGCAACAGGTCTCCACATTGAATGTACCCTTCTGTATTATCATATCTGTGTGATAAGTGACTCAGCACATACATACATACATACATACATACACACACACACACACACACACACACACACACACACACACACACACACACACACAAACACTCACGTCTTCCTTTCGCCTTCGAAGCCGATCCGCGTGGCGAGACCAAAGTCGCCGATCTTGATATCCAGCTCGTTGCTGAGGAATAGGTTGCCCAGTTTCAAATCACGGTGGATGACGTTCTGTTTGTGCAAGTATGAAACTCCTTCAACGATTTGCTTGGTGAAGTAGCGCACTTCTGGCTCGGTGAGGAATTTCCGGCGCTTTTGCAGCTCTTTCAAGGACTGGGCATAATCAAAGAATGCATTGGATTGGTTTAGCATGCTGAAGTTCATACATGCTGCAGCTACTGGTGGATTTCAAATTTCAGCATATCTGTCAGTACAGGATTCAAAAATGTGTGCATACAATGTACGTACCCGACGTTTGCATAGCTCAAGAACAATGTAAATATTCTCGTCATCCTCGAAATAGCTCTCAAATCCCACCACGTATCGCTGACGGACGGACCGGTGAATCTGAATCTCCATGGACATCTGTATGAGAAAAATAGAGAGCCACGGCCCTGACGTAAGTTCAATTTATCGGGATTCCATCAGTGAAAATGATGACTATGGCTTCACCTTTTCCTTCATGTAGGGTTTGACAAGAACGCTCTTTGGGACTATCTTCCCTGCGTATAGCACTCCTGTATCAACATCTCTGAGCTCGAAGGCCTTGGCGAAGGACCCCTGTGTACAACAGAAATACAAACCTCGGATTTCCACTCGAACTTTTGGACTAACAGCTTCATCAAGTAGTGGCTACCTTTCCAAGGAACTTTCCCTTCGCATAACGTTTTCCGTGAGAATGATCAACAATAATTTCTTCCTTCTCTCCTGCAGAAGCAAGTGGCTGCGCCATGGCTAATGTCCCTAACTAACAACTGAAAATAAGTCATAAACCGTTTCCTCTCCTCACGAAAACGTCGGCCCCTGCTCTTTCTACAGTTTGTTCCAGCACATTTTGAAGTGAACCGCAAGCGACCAGGCCAACCTTCCACACAGTCGCCATGCACACAAACGTAAACACCTGCATGCACTGGCTGCACACGGCCGCAGCGCTGCCGCATGCACGCTTCGAAGTTTCAAAAGTTGCCGCTGCGAATCTCAACAGCCAATCAGAGCCAGTGAAATATACCGATAAAATGTGGGGAAAGTGACGTCACCCCAAAGAGCACAGTGCAGTCTAGTGGAACTGCACAGTCTGCAGTCTGACCTGCTGGAGCGCCAGTGGAGGCTCACAATATGCACTCATCAATTCAAACTTTTCAGTCACGTCAATAAACAAAGGATACAGATAGATCACAGCCGAACTGAGTTGACATTTCGACCCAGTCTTCTTCGGAAAGAACGGACTTCAACAGACACACACTCAGTCAGTCCAGGCTGAGCTGAGGAACAGTCGTCCCATAAACATGATAATCCATCTACCGGTACATTTACCGATTCCCAAGTCCCTGATGTACATGCACATCATGTACAGTCAACTTCGCTAATAACGACTGCGGATATAACGACAATTCGCGAATAACGACAGAATTTCCACGCCCAGAGCAAAGTCCCATCCCACGACACCTCGCGAATAAGGACACCTTTTTGATGCCCCGCCGAGTGTCGTTATAAGCGAAGTTGACTGTACATTGTACCCGTGGATATACACATGGTTATGGACACTTGCTACTGTATTACGAAGAGTACAGTCATGTATAGTATAAAGCTGGGAGCTTTACTCTATAAAATTTGGTATTTTTACTCCTCGCTGGTAGAGATCACAACAGGCACGATAAGGAGTTTAGCTTAGGACAGCCATAAACAGTTTCTCAACTAGAAGACGGACATGACTGATCCAAACGCAACATAATAATATGTACACCAGACATTAAAGTTGAAGAATAAAATGAAAATAAAACTGTCAGTAACTTATACTTATAGGCAACAACCTTTGCTAGGTGATAGCTGAAAATCGCCAGCGCAGAGCTACGAAATGCAAGGTCAGCCTACGGTATGCAGAGAGATGTAAAGAAAGGAGAGAAATTGTGTGAGTGTGTGTGAGTGTGTGTGTGTGTGTTTCTGTGTGTGTGTGTGTGTGTGTGTGTGTGTGTGTGTGTGTGTGTGTGTGCGTGTGTGCGTGTGTGTGTGTGTGTGTGAGAGAGAGAGAGAGAGAGAGAGAGAGAGAGAGAGAGAGAGAGAGAGAGAGAGAGACAAAGAGAGAGAGAGAGACAAAGAGAGAGAGAGACAGACAGAGAGAGATTAGTCGAAAAACACAACAGCTAGGGGTGCATTGTCAACTACTCGCCCTGACCTCCCTGCATAACCTGCATGCCCGAATAACAATCAGCAGAGATGGAAAAATAACGATAAAAGGCCAAAGACTATGGTTATATGTACTACACAATACTAGGAGAAGCGAATGTACAGTAGCTGGAACTGGGTGAGAACCTAGTAACTCAGTATAGCGGACGGCGCAAACAGCAGAGCACAAACAGCAGAGCACAATAGACGGCATAAACAGCAGAGCCCAACTAACGGGCTACAAAGACGACACGCATAGTCAGTGCAACTAGCAAAACATGAAAGAAAAATATAAATACAGCTCGGTCAAAAACTAGTGGAGCTAGATAAAAAATGATACTACAATTGGGCTTGTGGGGGGGGGGGGGGGAGGGGTGTTCTGTGTTGGCAAGCCATAATGCTGGACAATGTGCACCGGTGCATGGAGTTTCATGAGACTCTTCCTTCGGCTTTTTGCTCAGCAGAAACGTGGAAGAACAGTTTACCAACCAGCAGCAAACGATCAAGAGTAGAACAGTGTAGATGTGACAGTGTGGTGCAGCAGCTAAATTGGGGGTATCAAATCAACATAGTTCAGTCGCTGGTGAGCAAATAGGCGGAAATGAAGGGTACGGTAATACAAATAATTAACACCTGCGCGGGGTGTAACAATTGGCAGGTGATCTGGCCGCATGTACACAGAGTCTCATGGGTCCGTATAGAGCCAGTGGGTAATGGTGTGCTTGTGTACAGGAAACGTGCGCAGCAGCACAGGACTTACATGGCACATCTTATTCCAGGACAGCTGAGCACACATCATCTTGGGTCGCCGTCAATGAATGGGAGCGAGCTCGGGACTGCGGGGTTAAGTTTCAAGGCAAACGAGCGCGCACGAGCATCACATGATAGAGCAGGATTCGGAACACATTGTCGGCTGGCACGGAATCCAGCCAGCTGGCTGAGCGCGGGGCGGTATAAGGTCGAGATCATCATCATCTGATACCTCGTCTAGTCTACAACAAACAAAAAGAGCAACAACAGCAAACATATTATTATCAATAATCACCACTGCCCTGCTATTACATGTATAATATAGCACAGTATAAGTTTTTTCAAGCCACCATAGTGCCACGATATCATGTGAGTAAATCCGACTAGTGACGTCCGACTTCAAGAAGAAGAAATACATGACATTGTATTAAAGTTGAAAAAGTGTGATCCCATAACAAGATTTTCATCAAGAGAAAACATGACAAGATCTTCACCAAGAGTGGCGTCGACTGGAAAAATTCCCACAACTGTCACACGGGAACACTCCCCGTCGATCGTGCCTTTTTGGAACCTTGGTGTTAACTCCCAAGGGGTCTGAGCAATACATGTAGGTGAATCCACTGATGTTGACGTCTAATCTGGTCTCACGGTCCAGCGCTATTGCTAGACTAGAGTAAAGAACAAAGTGTTCGGCATGATACAGGCACCTAGGAACTCCTGGAACCAAGACCACAGAAATCTGTACAATCGTATTACATACCGGTAGCCATCTTTCAGTAACTGCTGCTGTACATCATTCTGTACCTGAATGCACAAAATTGAAAATGCACACACACACACACACACACACACACACACACACACATACACACATAAACGCATGCATGCCCGCACCACGCACGATTCAGATAAGTGAGGACAAAGGCTCTAAAACAAGGAAAACATGGGTTGCGAATGGGACTTTCGGTGTTTGACCACTTTGGTGGTGGGTCTGATCTACTCACCTCCAACCAATTTAGGACCTGTGTTTGGCGTTCATGCGGATGCGGAAAACTCGGTCTAACCGAGTCTCAAGCAAACCGTGACATTTTTTCCCCGGTGCATTATACTGAGTCAAGCTATAAAAAATTAAAAATCACACACTGCATTTTCCAAGAACCACTCCACTTGCACATGCCCATCGCTGAAGCAATGATAGCGAACAGCTATTTTAGACATAGCAACTTGTCCTAGGATTACACCGTTTAACAGCTTGCACGGCTGATGAATTGACCGGCACTAATTTAATACTGTTCACCCTAACTTCGATCGTCGGCCTGCACCGTTTTCTTGTGTGTTTTCAACTTTCAAGACATGGTTAGCGTTTCGATTTCCGACACAACGATCGGCTTGTAACCTCACCCTACAGTCCATTCAGAAAAAGATGAGCGCTGGCTCTGGAGAGCTCCCGTATTTGGCGATTTTGTGGTACACTGTGCAGTTGAAAAAGGGTCCAAAAACGGTACCTCTAATGGGGTTCGAACCGCAAATGTACTGTTATGCAAGTGGAGTGAACGGCCTGGATTTCATGTTTTTCCCCAATTCAGTGCTTTGGGGGCAAAACCTGGCCGAAATCCTATTCTTGTTATGGCTTGCCCTTTGAAGAAAAAGACTTCAAAATCACAATTGGAAGAGCATTCCATGGGGGATTGCCAAAAATATTGTGACGAAAACTCAAAATTTGACCCGTTTATGGCCAAAAGCTAGGATATCATCCTTTTCTGAATGGACTGTAGTTGGAATCGTACTGTTTCGTGATCCCGGTAAACATAGCCTTCCATCGTCGAAACGATACCAAACCGACGGTATTTTGGGTGCTGGGCACAAGTACCATTGGATTTAGCGTAAACGGCAAAATGCTAACCATGTCTGCATTCTCTTGTACGGGCAAAAACAAAGTGATACAGCTTGTGTTGAAGAATAGAAGAAAACGGAGCCGAAAAGTACTATGCTGTGAAACACGCATGAGGCATGGTCAGGGCATACAGCAGCTGAAAAGGTCGGAAAAAAGATCCCTCCCCCCGTTTAACTCTGCATAAGACTCTGTATACTCTTACCCTTTTGGACCGCGATGCGCTCAGGTCAAACTCATCCATGCTGTCTCCGCTGTCCCAGCCGACTAGCGCTTGTGTGTCCTGACGATAATCCCCATTTCGCTCGGAGGGAACGACCATTCTGAGCACCACAAGTAACACATGCAAAGCATACACGCACAAAAGGAGACGAGAGGTTCAGCAAAACAATATTATTCTAAGTACATGTACACGTACCTAAAGATAAACGACAGTCAGCAGGCACCTCAATGTCAATATACAATACCCATGCCAAGAACACACGTACATAAAAACCAGAGTCTGCAGCCAGGATGGGTGGCATGGCTGTCACAGGGAAACTCTCTTGGTTTGCATTCTTCTTGTTATGAGTGCTGCAGTATGTACACGTGAGATTCAAGCTGGTCTCCTGCTGCACAACTGCAGTTTAGCTCTGAGCACAACGCCACATTGTGCCGCCACTCATCTGCATCAGCTACTATGTAATCTAAAAAAATGTTGTGATGAAGGTGATTTTAAAAGAAATGTTGTGACAGCCATCCACATGGAAGCTGCATATTCTGGCTTGAAAGAGAGAGAGAGAGAGAGAGAGAGAGAGAGAGAGAGAGAGAGAGAGAGAGAGAGAGAGAGAGAGAGAGAGAGAGAGAGAGAGAGAGAGAAGAGTGAATATCACTATACAGCAGTCGGCGATAGTGTTCAATACCTGTTCATGGGCATCATCCTCACAGAACTACTGGGTGGCGATGTGATGGGCGCCATCTTCCGTGACATGTTACGTTGCCGTTCTGTGCAGAAACAGTGAGAGAGAGAGCACGCAGCACTGGCCATTTGAAAAGCAGAATGGTGAAAACACAGAAGCACCTCTCCATCAGTGATAATTGAGTGGCTAGCACAGTTCAAAGAGAGGCAAAGGAAGGGAGCTTCGGCAAGCGGCAAACACCGAGCCAGCATTGTTCCACTCCTCAAGTTCTACCGAGCTCTTGCCAGTGAACACTAGAGCACAGTCATTCGGGCTCTCACAAGACCACAACAAAGACCTGCGCAATTATACGTATGCTATAGTGCTCGAAATGTAGCGGTCATGTCCGCACACGTGGGGCAATGCGAATGGTCCTGGGAGTTTAAACAGGTGGCAGCGGAACTAGCTGAGATTGGCCCTGCTCTGCGAGTGTCAGTCGTTGTTTCCGACAGCAATGGTGAGATTTCACTCTCCTTGAATGCCATGTCGGGGCGTACAGATCAGCAGACAAGGACAACGACGCCAATAGAAGGGCCGGCATAGCACAAAGACACGGGCAGACAAGAAATGCTCGGCTTGCTGATGGAAACAACAGCTGACTCGCACCAAGCAGGGCCAGTCTCGGGTACCGTATTTTATATTTATTTTTTACTGGGAACACAGCCCTACAAGACATAATATTTTCCGGAGCATAACCCACACTGCAGTATAAGCCGCAATACCCCCCCCCCCCCCCGCCCATTTTGTGCCACGAAATACAGACATCTATCCTATTTATCACCGTTAATTTGATCATTGGAGTATAAGCCGTGCCCCCTTTTTTGGGTGAATGTTGAGTGCTCAAAGGGTGGCTTACACTCCGGAAAATACGGTGGTTTCACAGCCACCTGTTTACACTGTCAGCACCATTGACATTGATCATTGCTTGCGGATGTGAGCATACCATATCCCTTGTGTCGAGAGCCGCGAAGGTTTTTGAAAAGGCGAAAGTTGTAGATTTACAGTACAGCTGAACATTATTATCCGGACATCGATTATCCGACCATTTGATTATCCAGAATGGGTTTTCGAACCACACGCGGCTCTGGCTACGCATTTCGCGGTGATGCGGGCGAGTGCCACTTTACATGCAATAAGGCTTGCCGACACTTGCCGAGTCTGATAGTGCAGTGCCAGTAACCACACAGACACGCTAACAGTACTGTATAAAATAGATATATCTCGCCGAACTCTGCAGGTACATGTACTAAGCCAGTCACTTGGAAACCAGGAGAACACCAAAATGGCACAAACAATCCAGTACTCCTCGACTGTCAAGCATGGGATACAGCACTACCTTGAATTCCCGGTCATTACTGAAGAGTGAAAGTTGCTAGTGTTTTGCCATGACCGCTGCGCTGAGCTGCGAGTCTTATAAGTTAACTTAAGAGTGTGGAACATTCCATGGAAATGAATGTGCTTGCTATACTTTCGCTGGCACAACGCTGTATTCTCTCTCACCCACACAAGGGCACCAGGAAGGACAACTGTAGCACTTCCCCAGCTCTATCTACTCAAATGGCCTAAACTGAAAAAGTAGGGCTACATTCTCCCCCTCCTTTGTTTTAACGTCTGCTTTCTCAATTCTATTCAAAAGTAATTACTATACAACACTTGTCTTGGGTCCAATGCCGTAATATCGTACCTATTTGCCGCTGCAGTTGAGATGGCTGCCTCGGATTGCGTTTTCTATCACCATTGTCCTTCAGAAAGCGTACAAATTAACACATCACAGTGCAAACAGTTGACTCGCCAGGCTACAGATATGCATCACCTAAAAATCAGGGAACCGACCCTTCGCGAGCTGGATCCTTCTGGCTCTGGAGCAACAGGTCCACGAGTGTCCATGCTACTACTGGCAGTTACATCTGACTCCGCTGCACTACTTTCACTTGGTTGAGACTCTCCGCTGAGTGGAAGATCCATGGTAGAAGCCATGGCAGAATTTTGGCCATTCGACTTTGGTGGTTCTCTATTTTTCTCTTTGCTTGTTGACGTCGTCATCATGACTTCGTCCGCCATTTTTTCGACGAGTTTTACGTCAACGACGTCGTCATTCTTCTCAAAGTTTGTAACTATGACGTCAGTTGTAGTTCGGTGCTTGAATTATTTAAAATAATGTGTGTCGTAAACAATAATTGTGTACAGTCCATTTCAAAACTATAGACGCGTACCTAGGCAAAAACCGTTATGCCAGCATCTATACCACATAAAATCTGTGGTCACTTTGTGCATAATTTTTTCCAAATTGGGCGTCTGTTATCCAATCGTTTAGAAACTATAATTATGCATGTATGAGAGTTTAAAGGGGAAGTATACCCTAAAATCAAATTTTCACCAGTTGTAGTCTTCGGGGTGCTGAGTCGAATGGTCTTGGTCCGAGGAAGCTGCGACGCTCCCTTCCTACTTGAATCCCAATCGAACTCGCGCACTTCCACCGAAACTGGGTGACTGCGCCCTACGAGATGGGGATTTGTATGCAAAATGTCACTAAAAGCGCCATTTCGTTCTTATAAAAGCACGGATGACCGCGATTGGCCCATATGTTGTAGTCTTTTGGACGCTGAGTCGACTGGTTTTGGTCCGAAAAGGCTGCGATGCAGCGTTCCTCCTTTATTCCCAATCGAACATGGTTGAACAAGCGGTCACGTGCTCCTGGGTGCCCAAATCACCTGGTCACCGCGCCAGCAGGCGACAACTTTCACACCAAGGTTCAACTCGGGTTCAACTCGAGTGACAGGACTGCACCCAAAAAAGGTCAAACAGGCTAGTAAGTTGTACCCTGCAGGCATGGTGACCAGGTGACTGGCGTACGCAGGAGCACGTGACCGCTTGTTCAACCATGTTCGATTGGGAATAAAGGAGGAACGCTGCATCGCAGCCTTTTCGGACCAAAACCAGTCGACTCAGCGTCCAAAGGACTACAACATATGGGCCAATCGCGGTCATCCGTGCTTTTATAAGAACGAAATGGCGCTTTTAGTGACATTTTGCATACAAATCCCCATCTAGTAGGGCGCAGTCACCCAGTTTCGGTGGAAGTGCGCGAGTTCGATTGGGATTCAAGTAGGAAGGGAGCGTCGCAGCTTCCTCGGACCAAGACCATTCGACTCAGCACCCCGAAGACTACAACTGGTGAAAATTTGATTTTAGGGTATACTTCCCCTTTAAGGGGGGACGGGAGGTTCGCTGGCCATATTGCGGTGCCCGTTATAAATTCGCTTGAATCTCAGCACTCAAACATCAGAATTCCTTCAAATTTTCAGTATATGTTCCTTGACATCCACTGACGACATTGCAACCAAGAACTGTGGAAAGTATACTGGTATCATGGAGAAATGCAGGAAAGCAATTTTGGAAAAAATGCGATAGCCGGGCATGATTTCTGCGCAGTTTTTCTCAAACATGGTCACTTGAAGATAAACACATAACACTGCAAAATGATCAGGTACCAAGGGGCTAGGGCTGTTGCCTAAGCACAATGCGATTACAGTTCCCATGGTGTGCCACTGCAGCCTTGAAATAACAATGCACGTGCGCAAGATAACTTGACTGAAGTTCAAGGTCCATTATTTTGTTTCTAACAGAAGATCTTGTGTCCTAAGAAGGCAACGGATCTAGAATGGACCGTACAGAACCAGAAAATATATACTTTTACATACAAGATATGTACAGCATTTCTACAAAACTGCGCGGAGTGCCCATAATACCCCTAAAATCAGTGAAAAATGCACCTAAAAATTACATAAAAAGGACTGATAGTGGAGTGCTACTGAAATATTTTCACATATCTGACCTGAAGTTGCCATTCAGAAACCACCTTTGTCATATGTAGTGCCCTCTTTCTCAATAGTGGTCTCCTCCCAGCCTTTCCTCTGCCTCCTTCTCCTTTTCCTGCTCTCCTTTTCCACTGCTGATGACTTGCGGAGGGACTTCTTCACACGCCATTGGTCTTCTAGCTCAAGCGCTGCCTTCGTGTGATTGCCATCAATGCATCCACACTCTTTCAGCACACTGAGCAAGGTGATAGCGCCGTTGTTGAAGTTGAGCACTGCCAAACTACTTGCCAGCTGAACGGTGTCGACGGAGCAGAAGCCTTCCTTCGGACACATTCTCCAAATGACGTTGTTGAACGACTCGTTCGCATTCTGCGTTGCACCCATCTGGCAGCGCTCCAGCAGACTTCGTTCGGACAGCTGCATGTAGATGGGCTTCACGACTTCGAACACAGCCTTTGGGAGAGGGTTCTTATGAGGCCTCCGCGTGTGCCCACAGACCGCTGCCAAATATCGCACGCAGCTTCACTCTCCATACCGGGTGCAGATGCCGCTGTGTTTATGCTGCACTTGTGATTATCCAGCCAGGTTGAAAAGGCTTCCTCCGTGATTGCACCACTTCGCTTCTTCTCAGTCCAGATCTTACATTCGTGACAGTATCGACCCTTCACTGTGATGTCCAGTACACGGCCGCTCTGGAAGGAGATGTACGCGAACACACCATACAGCGACGAATTATCCCCTGCGCATCCAAGTGCCGTCGAACGTCACTGCGACGTGGGTGGAATCTGTCATGGCACGCAACTCAGCTGCGGATTGAACCATGTCAGTTTCAGCTAGCTTTACGGCTGCAGCAAGGACAACTTCCTGGTGGCTGCGGTACGCTTTCTCCGTTACAGGAGCAGGAAAATTCATTACGCCGCAAAACTTTCGGAGTCCACCATGGCCACGTCCAATGCATCGCATCGCCAGTACAGATCGTCAATTCAGATCATAGCTCCTGCAAATTTTCTTGCTCAGAGACGTACTTCCACTGTGTCCACACAAAGCGCATTGAAGTCGCAGGGTCGATCCAAGTCCAGTGTCATGACAGTTACTGACGATCATGTCTCCCTTCGTGCACTTCCTACAGACAGTAAATTTAATTGATCCATCAGTTCCTGGAGACACTGTAAATCCACGATCTTGTAGCCAGAGACAGACTCCTCAACATCAGGATAGAACGCATCATCATCATACTCCTGGCAGCTATCACTGGACGACTCGTCTGAATCACTGTCACTCGAGCACACAAGCTCAGATTCAAATTCCATGATCATAATAATATCACTAAGCCATTTTGGCCTCGACGAAATCTTCCGAGAGGAAGCGCTCTGCGCCGCTTCAACGGTGCCTTCTTCCACAACTGGTACAGAGCTTGACTGCTTTGGGGCGTAGTATCTCCTTTTCTTCCTCCTATGGCCACTTCCAGAGCTGCTGGAGCTTCTCTTTCGGTTCCCCATGTAAAATTGTTCACTTTCACGATCACAAACAAAAAAACAAAGATTTTTTCCTTCGCGTGGGCGTCGTGGCGCTGTAGAACGTCATACGCGCGTACGCGATCAAGGAAGCACGTGGCAGCTCTCCATGACTACAAAAACAGAAGCCAGGGTCGCTTACCTGGCGAAGTTGAATCAAAAACGCTTGATTTTGGACTAAACCAAAATCACAAATTTAGGCAATTGTAAACATTTGAGTATTTACATTTGAAATTTATCTCGACATACTTTAGCTCATAACTCCACTTCTACTAAACCGATTACGCTCAAATTTGAAATTCTGGCGCTTCAAATATCCTAAGACAAGATTCCATAGCAAAAAGTTCAAAACTCAGAAATTCATTTTTTGACCCTCTGAACCTCCCGTCCCCCCTTAAGCGGGATTCACAGAAGCTTTTTTGTGATGCGATACGCGATGCGACAGGCGCGAAACAGGGAAAACCCCAAATCGCAGCCATGTCGCGGCCCACGCAACTGCCGCAACTGGGCCATCGCAGAAGTGAGCTTGGCTCAACTTTTGCGATGCGATGCGATGCGACAAGCGATTTGGTGTACGATTTTGACCTTTTCTACAGCAAAGTTGTACAAAGGTGCAAGAGTTGCCTATAAATTTTTACAAGTTGTGTCAAACCGCGCGAATATCATGGTGACGTACCCAAATCAGCAAAACTTTGTCGCATCGCTGACTTCTTCTGTGAATGGTATTTCGCGAGTTCGCATCGCACGCATCCATCGCAGATCGCGTCGCATCGCGTGTCGCATCGCAAAAAAGCTTCTGTGAATCCCGCTTATTAATTGTGGAGCGATCCTGAGCAATATTCCGAAAACTATTCTCAAAACGTTCCAGCCAAATTTGAAATATTTCAAAAACCCTACGCGTCTATAGTTTTGAAATGCACTGTAGATATATCTACAATACATTTCTCTCCGGAGCCGGAGTCAGTTGTCAAAAAAAAGTTGAGCTGCATGACTGAGTGACATCAAACAGTCCGTGCGCCAACAAAAAGAGTGCGTAAACGTTTATGGTCATGACATGATCCATCCCTTTCCAGTTCCATGACATGATGGACCAGTCAAGTTAGTAATCATTATTTTTCAGGTCCTCTTGACGATGGTCCAAATGGTCAGCCACCTGCAAACTGTAGATTTTCTGTCTCTTTCTCTGACAAGGGAAGACTGGGGAAAAGGATCTAGGACCTAACTGCCTAAGCATACTTTCTGGCCACTGATGTCTGGGTAAAGAACTACATGTAGTAGTACTGGACTTCCAATGATGAGAGAGCAAAGATCATCGATGTGGTAGGCATTGTAGTGTTATGATGACCACCTAGGCGGTTATCATGGTTATTATGACATTAATTACTAGTACTTACAGTCCATTCAGAAAAAAATGAACTTCTAGCTTTTGGCCATAAATGGGTCAAACGTTGAGTTTTTTTAGAATTTTTTTCTGCAATCCCATATGGAATCCTCTTCCAATTATGTTTCTGAAGTTTTTTTGTCCAAAAAGCAAGCCATAGCAAGAATAGGATTTCGGCCAGGTTTTGCCCCAAAAGCACTGAATTGGGAAAAACCATCAAAATCCAGGCCGTTTGACCCCGCCTGCAACAGTGCATTCTGCGGTTCGAACCCCAGTTCAGGCACCCTTTTTGGACCCTTTTTCAAATTTCAAAGTTCGCAGCACTGCACTGTGTACGATGAAATCACGAAAAATCGCCAAATACGGGAGCTCGCCAGAGCCAGGACCCATTTTTTTATGAATGGACTGTAGTAGTAACCAAATCAAACCCCCGAGGTTGTCTACGAGGGTAGACCTGGAGTTTATGACTTTATGCACACTTTTAGTTTTACACTCTCTCTCTTCTCCGGGGCTCGGTCGCGTTCTGAACGCATAGCCTCCTATTCGCGTGGGGGATGTGCGAGCAAATCACTTCGTAACATGAAGAGTACATGGGGGGGGGGGTGTGATGTACTCTTGTCTTGATAACATGGACAATAGTCGTGTGTGATTTGCGCACAACCAAGCCCCAGCCATCAACACTCCGAGACGAGGTCACTGCGACCGGGGATATATCGATAAGCGAACACTATGCAACAAGTAACACTTAGTTGTAAACTACTTCAGTATAACTATAACTATAAGGCAGAGAACTACAGTCTGAGTACAGATCACCCTAGGGTAGGGACGCAAGTCCGTGTACTCACATTACTTATACTCGCGCATAAAGTCACAGACACACCCGATTCACACGTACCAGTAGCTATCTTCTTATCTTTTTTTCTTTGTTTCGCATTGGAAAATCACCAGTATTACTATTAGAAGGGGAAAACTCATTGCACTATATCACTTATCAGTACCAAAAAGATTAGCAATCAGGTTTTGGTCCTAAAAAGTACGAAGATAAGGGAAATTTGGACAACAAAGTACATAGAATGGCTTGTTAGGACACGGCAAATTGTTCTGTGAAGGTTTCGGAACAATTGGACCAGCCGTTAAGGATTCAGAATTTCGGCCAGGTTTCCGGCCTTTTCCCATGGTTTACAATTTGCCCTGGATGTCAGTATCGATTTTTTATCAAAACCCACGATTTATCCTTTCCTTTTTGGCCTTGTGGTTATGAATGCTGTCTGCTGGCCATGAAGTTGTGAGTTCAAATCCCAAACTATCTTCAAGTCAAACTTTTTTTTCATAGTTTTGGTGGTCACGCTGGTACAAAAAGTACAAGCCAAAGAAGGTGGCTGCGCCAAACGACTTGTTGTTGTTGGAGCTCGCGTTTCCTGCCGAACTTACTGACACTTGACTGCTTCACGCCATGTGAACACACCCACAACACTGAAACGGTGTGAGTGAACACGGAAGTCATTGCGCTGCAGCTAGTGTTGTTGAATTCAACGGCACATCGATCAATCGTTTTCTCTTTGAGAATTACATGTATTTCAGTATTTCAAGATCGCCAATTTATTTGAATTTAGGAGTCAACGCCGTCTTCTATCAGCTTTCACAGGTGTCTGCTTTTCTCAAAATGTCGTCGAAGTCCCACGGATAGCTTTGCCAAGTCATGTCCTTGGGAATGAGTCTGTGTCGATGTCGTTTTCGTCACATCGTGAGAGTAAATTGCATCGCAGCTCAAAGAAATTGGGCACGAAACGAATTGGGACCCATCCCGCTCGTCAACATTTACCACACTTTCGACATGTCCTCTCTGACTCCATGTCGATACGAGGAAGAACTCGTTTGTTGTAAACCAGACGTACATGTACCAACGTGAGTGAGTTATCATTTTTCATGCTTTCGCGCGGATTATTTCTTCGAGTTCACAGTGAGTTTTTCCAGCCAGCTCTCGAGCGCGCATACGGTAAAACGGCAAACTCCCCGGGCGATCGCCAGGATTGCTAATCTTTTTGAAACTGACTGTAGGCTTTAGTCTCCTGTTTAGCAGAGTTACATGCAGTTGGCAAAATAAATCATAATTGGTCCCTAGAATATGTCCGCTGGTCATAACTGCTCATAAGTCAGGTATATTGTCTAAAAAATGTGCAAAGGCTAGTCAGGCAGGGGTAGAACAGGCTAGTCCAGGCAGGGGTGGTAGAACAGGTAGAAAGGGAGAAATCAGCGCTTGGCAGTCGGTGGTGATTCTAAATCTCTGCCAGATGCCAGCGGTCCGTATGAGAGCGCTGAGGGAGAAAACGAGGCACGCGCAAAAGCAAACAAACTAAAAAAAAGTGCGTGCGTGTGTGTGTGCAGGCACGCGGTGGTATGTTGCTGGAAGAGCAGATCGTCTCCAGATGTACTCATAGGATGACACAAGTTCAGCTGTGTGCTGTGTACGAGCGCTCCTGGAATGCACTCAACGGCTGCGCTTGCCTCAGCCCTCGGAACATGCATCATTAGTACATAACGCACCGCACACATAATTCCCTACAGGGCTACAGGCGAGCAGCCAAGCGCACAGGACACCTGCCAGTGCAACTCTAGTACTCTGCGTCAGCATCATCGTCGCCGTCCGCAGCAGCAGTATCGCTGCCCACCTCTTCGTAGTCCTTCTCCAGCGCAGCCAAGTCCTCGCGTGCCTCGCTGAACTCTCCTTCTTCCATGCCTTCGCCGACGTACCAGTGGACAAAGGCACGCTTGGCGTACATCAGGTCGAACTTGTGATCAACGCGCTGCCACGCTTCGGCAATGGCGGTCGTGTTGGACAGCATGCACACCGACCTCTTTGTTCGAGCCAGCTCACTGCCCTCCACAGCGGTTGCTGCCTGGTAGTTGATTCCAACCTACACATGTACACAAAGGCATATTCGCCAACTTAAAAGCAAGCACCGCGCTTTCCAGCATTGCGGTGAAGTACCGTCAGATCACCCTATTTCTCGATAGGCTGTGCTGGCACAAACTCTGGAAACATCAGGGTGTTGCATGTTTCGGGCATAATCGGGAATTTCCCTGGAATAATCTGTGCATATTTTTCTAATTGCTGGTGGTCACCTGGCTGGTTCCATGGAGAACAGCAGAAAGTATGATTTCAAAGCAATTTAGTCAGAATTCGGGGATATTACCATGGACTCCTGCACTTGTATGCATTCACTGCATCCCTAGCATATTATGGTGAGCATACTTGAGGGAAATCAGTGCTACTATTAAAGGTCAATACTGTGTAAGAGCTGGAGTGTACTAGGGTAACACAGGGTCTACTGTTCTTGTGTGGAACTTCTGATGCTACACAGAGGACCAACCCGTCCGTTCCTCTCCGAAACACGGCCACAAAGGGAGTCCAAGTGGTGAGGTGCTCTCCCAGTACTTCAACGGAAACGGTGAACACAGTTCCAAGTCGGCAGCATACTAGTAATCTTCACCCTATTGAGGAAGCCATACAGGTACTCGTGCTAATGACATGTGGCTCTGGAGTGCCAGCGCCGCTCACCTTGAAGCCTGTGGGGCACCAGTCAACAAACTGAATGTTCCGCTGGCCCTTGATCCTGGTGATCGCATCGTTGACGTCCTTGGGCACAACATCGCCGCGGTACAGCAAGCAACAGGACATGTACTTGCCGTGACGTGGGTCGCACTTCACCATGTGGTTGTTGCCCTCAAAGCAGCTCTTGGACAAGTCGTAGATTGACATATTCTCGTGCATTGCTTTCTCGGGGCTGATGATCGGCGCATACGAAACGAGCGGGAAGTGGATGCGCGGGTATGGAACGAGGTTAGTCTGGAACTCGGTCAGATCAACGTTCAGGGCACCATCGAATCGCAATGATGCTGAGCATTACAACAACAGCGTGCACAGATACGCACATCAATTAATATGCACACACACAAATGTGAGAGCGCGCACGCACACACACACACACACACACACACACACACACACACACACACACATGCGAGCGCAAACTTGCGTGTTTTACTATCCCTCGTATTCTAATACGCACATGTTCTACTGCGCAAATAGACTGGACAATACAAAGTTACGTGAACAGCCCAGAAACCACGTGTTGAATCACGCAGCAAAAACAGTGCAAATACATGTACAATGACAGAGCTTGCAAAGCGCTGATTAACCCTTTACTGTCCGTACATACAAGCATCGATCCAATGGGATCGATGGGGTAGGCATTTTGAAATTATCGTAACTTGCTCAAATCTAGGTCTTTTGGAGAGATCGAAATATGTAGGTCGAAGAGAAAAGTCTCAGCTGTCGCCTCGAACAATTCCCGAAGCGATACGAAGTGCGGCTGCTGAGTTATCGCACTCGTAATTCTGGTCCCGGGAAATGTGCGTTCAGAGCGCGACGCGCATGTCGACGGCTGGGATTTTCCCTGTTTACGTCACCTGTTGGCAAGGCTACACCGATTCAAATTCAAAAGTAGGTTCCCGGGAGTCTCTACGAAAATATTTGAGCTCGATACGAGCAACAGGGGTGACATGGTGGATTGAGTTCGATCTCGAGCGTGAGCTCAGCGCTTTTGCGCGTTCCCTGGCTTGCAGCGCTGGACCAGTGCATCCTGTGGCGCCGAGTGTGGGCTCAATGCGTTCGTCTCGTCAAGACCTTTCCAGGATGCCCAAGATCGTGGAAATCGTCAAATTCAAACCAAAGTTACGTCTAATTTTAGTTTCAGATTTTGTGGTTGCGTGGGCTTGTATACATTTTAATCGGACAGTAAAGGGTTAAATGACCTTGTACAATTTACTCACGGGGTTGGGGTGGCTCCTCTGAAATATTTCGGAAGTTAGAGCCCATATCGATGCATTTCATTTGATTCACAGGGTACAGGTCTACTCTCGTTAGTACGACATCGGGTACAAGACAAACCTTATTAGTAGACACCGGTCCAAAAATCCCTGGCGCCCGAGAAGTGTACATACAAGTCCGGATACCGTATTATCTCTAATATAAGCACAGTCTCCAATAATAGAACACCTTGGGGCGGCATTCAAAAAATAAAGTGCTCAGTCTCCATTATAAGCACACTGTGTAAATTCATTATTATGTGGCGGCGAAAAAACCCTAAAATGTGTGTGTCTGACATGAATTTGGCATGGCAACAAGCCTCTGAAATCAGGTTGAAATAATAATGGAACAGTATCCAATAAAGGAACGTCTCCATTAATAGCACGGGGCGGAGGTACATTGAAAAAATAAAGGACCGTGCTTATATTAGAGATAATACGGTAGTAGAGAATACTCGTTATAAGACAAACAATTGAACCTCGGATTGTCTACTAACGAGTGTAGACCTGTACCCGGGACAAAGAGTGGTACGGTCAATATCGTAGTGACCATGGCGTGTCCGACACCCGGCCTGAGTATAAGTGTTTTCCATGCAACACTGCTGAGTCTCACAACTGCAGAGTACTACCACGTGCACCGCATCATGCCTTACCCGTGATGGAGGACACCACCTGGGCGATCAGGCGGTTCAGATGCGAGTAGCTGGGACGATCAACGCCTAGCTCCCTCTTGCAGATGTCGTAGATAGCCTCGTTGTCCACCATGAATGCACAGTCGGAATGCTCGAGCGTGGTGTGCGTTGTCAACACGGTGTTGTACGGCTCAACGACGGCTGATGAAATCTAGCACCAGAAACAACGAGGACAGCACTCCGCTCAATCAGAACAGAACATCCAATGACCGCCAGACCAAATGTGATGGATGATGCTTCAAGCAGTGTGGGCCACCACACGCTAGCAAGCATTGGATTTGACCTTTCAGTTTTCTTTCCCCTGAGGCGTAACGTACTAGTTGGACACAATATGAAAGCACGTGCACCAATTTCTAGATCATTGCAGACTGAGTATCCTCCTCTGTTACCTGGGCACAACTTTGTCACAAGCAAGCTCGGGGACAGTGCTCTCAGTGGCAGCTCATGCAAGTTGTTGGTGGACGCACCTCAAAGGTTTGATGAAAACCGACGCAGTTCTAATCTAGAAATAACCAATAAATTTGAAACCGCAAGTCTATCTGACTTTAGCAGCTGCATGTACATCTCACTTGTCAGTTAGAGTCAACTGACCTGTGGTGCAGGATAGACGGCAAACTCCAGCTTTGACTTCTTGCCGTAATCAACGGAGAGGCGTTCCATCAGCAGAGAAGCAAACCCTGAGCCGGTGCCACCGCCAAACGAGTGGAAGATGAGGAAACCCTGCAAGCCACTGCAGTTGTCGGCCTGAGCACAGCAATATTCATTAAGTACAATAGTATGTTAGCAGGGTGAAACGAAATCACTCGCGCGAGCGCACACACACACACACACACACACATCATCATCAGCAGCAGCAGCAGCAGCAGCAGCAGCAAGCCACACCAGTGCAAACATAAGAACAAGTAGTCAAATGAGCTGTTGCAAGCACACACCGGGGTGAGAAAGATCTCAATGAATTGACAGTGCAGCCACGGGAATAGAACAGATGACCAAGCGTGAGCAACAATATATTCTCTACCATGCATTCTGTGAGTTCCTGGACACAAGCCCTAAATACCACTGCCCCATCAGGTGTAATCCTTCTTGCGGTGAACAATTCCTGGCAGTAAGTCACATGTAACAAAGTCGGAAACTGCCCAGGAAACACCCTGCCACACCAAACAAAGAGCACAGCCTGCGCTGCACAGAACAGCGACGGTATGCATGGAACGGCACACAAACCACTGGGCGTACAATTCTCCTGATGTTGTCCAGGGTCTCGTCAATCTTGATGCGGCCCACGGTGTAATGGCCACGCGCATAGTTGTTTGCCGCATCCTCTTGGCCAGTGATCAGTTGATTCGGGTGGAACAAGGAGCGGTATGCGCCACGCCGAATCTCATCTGACGTAGGAAAAAAAGAGCACAAGAAATTACCAGAACAAAAAATGGGATCAGAATCAATCGGTATACAACCACTGAATGACTTTGGCAAAGGGAGAGATCCTGGTGAAACGGGCATGACAGAGAGGGCAATGCAATCTGGAGATCATACACCAGCACCTTGCCATATTTACCATTCTCCCGCTCCATCCCTCCATCCCTAGCCTGGAAATTCTGCTGCAGCCCGATGTTCATGCACGCGTGGATAAGTACAAGAACAACCAACGCACCATGATGCGAGGTTTTGCTGCTGGCACACGCCATAACATGCCGGCAAAGTCAGACGGAGTTGCACACTCTTTCAGTATTATGTGCGCTTGATACTACTGTACGTTTTCATTGCGCCAATCTATCCCATAACGTCTGCTTCCAACCCTCGTAGTAGGGTCTTGACTGGCGCACAGCTTCAATATGCACGATGAGGAAGTGCGTACACACATGTACATGTATGTATTATTGACTGCACACCCCCCCCCCCACACACTCTTTTGTCGATTTTTGTGTTGTTTCAGGCAACGAAAAATGCAGTCGATAGTCACTAACAGAGGGCTCATAAAGGCACACTTGCACATTTTGTGTCGCAAGACAGTTTGGGAAAATGGAGAAAATGTGGATTACAGGGTAAATGTTTCCCTTGCCCCCCCCCCCCCCCCACACACACACTATTTTTACCTGGCTAGAACCCTGCTTCGAGTATACGCTTTACATCCACAAATCTACTGAATGACCCCGAGGTGAAAGTACATTATACAATTATGTACATCTACTCTTCAGCAATAGAAAAAAAACATAGTTTGACATGAAAGTCATGATGTACACTAGTGACCCGCGACCAGAACCAAAGCCACAAGCTGTCCATACCTATCACGGTCTCTTCCAGATCCACGAAGACCGCTCTCGGGACATGCCGACCGCCACCAGTTTCGCTGAAGAAGGTGTTGTAGGAGTCGTCTTCTTTGCCCACGGACTCATCACCAGGCATGATGCCATCAGGCTGTATGCCGTGCTCCAAGCAGTACAGCTCCCAGCAGGCATTGCCCATTTGGCAACCTGCCTGCCCAACATGGATCGAAATTACCTCACGCTGGACATTGAAGTGACAGCATGCCCCAAATGCACACATGCACACCACAAGAGAAGGCGAGAAGGTTCAAAGTCGGAATCAGACGGCTCAAAACAAACGCGTTTGTTTGCAGCAAGGAATGCAAGATGGCACATATGCCGCCCACATTATCGCTCCAAATGAAAGTTTCCTCACCATTTTTTGAGATCTTGAGATATATGAAGGTTAGATCTGGGATCAATCGCGTATGGCTCACAAGAAGCAAGTGAAGAACTTCTGCAAGCAGCCACCCGAAATCCACACCAAGAAGTGAGAGCAAGACCTGTTTCTGTTTGCAGTGTGAAAAAGAAGTGCTAGTGCACGGTTGTAGTGGTGCTCGGCGTGACTCGATTAGATAGCCGTTGCCGTTGCATTCAGCTGGGGCGGCATCTTACTTAGGCGCTAGTGCAGACTCAGTGTTGCGCCAGTCAGTGCAGTGCGTGCAGTCTGCAAAATCTGTGTGCTTTGTGCTGGTCGTTTGCTCAGTTGCGACCGCGGGAACCGGATGTGATACCTTCATGTTTGAACTGGCCAATCAGCTCAGGACCTAGGCTGTCATGTGGCTTTTTTTGGCGGCGCGCGCAGTCGATATTTATAATTATTACCATGATTACCAGGTACTAGGTATGCACTCCGCAGTCCGCGCCGCAGTCCGCAGTCTCCGCATGCGCACAGAGTAGAGTCAGGTGACAGTCCACACGCCGTACGGCCCATAGTGACATAGATGTGGTACAGTCAGTGACAGTGGTATTGGTCCCTTTATACAACATGTATGGCATAACACTGCGTAACAATGCCGATGTACTGGGTGTCTAAAGCTCAGTACAGTGTATTTACATGTACTAAAAAATATATTAAAAAAAAAAAAATCCGCCCGCCCGCCCGTAAAAAAAATGTCCATGTTAGTCGAACCACACACCTTCTTTAGTTTGGCCTAATAATAATAATGTAAGCCTCAAGCTGAGATTCTTGCTTCAGCAACAACAAGCGCTGCCGAGTCTGAGGCCATTGCTGGTAAGAATGCCTTGCGTGCACCACGCAAGCACATCAGCGCTGAACGGACCAGCCAATCTGGCAGCGGATGGCAGCTAGGGTGATGCTGTATGGCTCCCCAGTCTTGGCAGCGAGGAGAGAGGCGATGCGTTTGTAGAGCGAAGCACCATGCTTTCCCATGCCTCCGGTGGTCGAGAAGATGGCGGGGACAAAGCTGGAATGCTCCACCTCCCTCAGGCGCTGCTCATACGCACGACGCTTAGCCTTTTCATGACGGACATAGGTAGCAGCAAGTGAGTTGGAACGGTTCGAAGACGCATGGGGGTTGAATACCCGTACATCAATGTAGGTGCGTTCGAACCGTCCTCCCCAAATGCCACTAGCCACGACGTCTAGGCGTGCCTGGTCGTCAGCAATAGCAGTGCGATAACGGAGTTGCTCTCCGGAGAGTGGCTGGAGGTGTGGCTCAACTGCCACCTGATGGGCCACCCGCCTGAGCAGACGAGCAGTGAGGTCCCTCACCTCGTTGTGACGAATGGACGGAAATCCACCCGTCGGACACGAGAGGGAGTGAGACACAGTGAACTGCTGCCCACACGCACACAGTGATGGTAGCCGGACCGGCAGCCAGTTGAAGCGAAGGCAAACAGCATCCCGAAACTCCGACTTCGTCAGGGTGAAGCCATGGCGTTGAAGGGGTCGGCACGTGAGCCAGCTTGAGGCACCCGGTTCCGAAGCCAGAGCGATCACTCGCTGCAGCTCTGAACTGGCGGAGGAAGAGAAGGCCTGGGCTGCTGCGCGAATTGACTCCCCGGCTGTCGCCATCACGCGCTTCTTGGCAGCGCGAACATCATGGATGGCCGTGCCAAGAACTGGATCTTGGGCGAGAACACGGCAGGTGAGGGAGGCAGTGATGTCAAGGGAGGACTGGTGCTGTTCGGCCCGGGACGACGGATGAGGTATGCCAAGACCTCCAAAGCGACATGGCAATGCTATCAGGGTGCGCTCCTCAGCATTGACCTAGGAGAGCTGGAATGAAGGTGTTGGTGATAGCAGCATCAAGCGGAGCTAGGTGCTCAGCCATACCAGGTTGTGCCCTACAGAGAAAAGTCCATTTGCTCTGCAGGCCGTACACATACGCTGAGTAGGCTGCTTGCGGCTCAGTGATAGCATACTGGCTAAGGCGGTGAACTTGTGTGCTCCACTCCTCAACCTTCTGCTGCAGGTAGCTGGTGACAAAGGCTGGCGTGCCGATTGCAGCGCCGAGGTATCTTGCACCATCGGGTTGGATGGTGACACCTGTGCCGTCGAAAATACGGACAGTGGTATTGGTAGTAGATCTACCAAGAGTACATAACCCCCCAGATATAAGAGTCTGGAGTGTGCAACGCCGATCCAGCTCTGTGTAGGGTCTTGCTCTACTCTGCATAGGGTCTTGGTCGAGCGGAATCGGATCTTCTGATGTCATGCGTACACTTCACACCAGCGCAAGGCCGGTCTCTAGGCACCGGCGGATTATGCCCGCGAAATCAGGGAATTATGCTTTCATGGATTCTCGCATTATGCTCGCAAAATTCTCATATTATGGTTTGGCACGCGGGGATACATATTCACTTTGTTGTGTTTATGGAGCCTCAAAGTTCGGAAAATTGTGCATTTTTCGTACTTGCAAGTGGCCATAAGTACAACGAAATACATGTCATGAGTTTCCCCATACCAAGGTGTCCATGCATACTAGAGATCAACCTGGAAAAGAGAAAACATTACTTCTTCTATTCATTAGTTGACTTCAACGAGTCTTTTGCTTTGAAAGATTTTTCCTTACCTTTCAAAACTGTCATGTTCAACTGTCTTCGTAATCGTCATACTCGTCCAACCGATGTCAGCCTAACCCTGCGAATTCTCATAATCAGCTCATCTCTCCCGTAGCTCCAGTTCTCCTTCCATCATTACCAAACATCAACTATACCTAAATTTGTTTAATTATTAGAGCAATACCCATAGCCTGCACAGTCATAGCTGCTAAGATCCAGACGTCATGACTTCGTAACAAGCATAGTGTACAAGTACGCGGAGTTTTGCGGACTACCCACCACTTTCTCGTCCGCCCCGGGATACCTGATAAAGGCTGATTCACTCGCATCTTCCGCTACATGTACATGTATCAGGGTGAGAAAGAACTTTGAGAAGACGAGTTCGAGCACACAAAATGTATTTCCATGATTTCTACCCTGCTTTTCATTGAAAACACTATCTAGGCTGCATGACCTCCGAACCCTTTACCATGCAGACCACCAGCACTGATGAGGTGCACTGTTCACAATTGTGTAGCCTACATACTAGAACTGTGATACAATCATGCAGTTATGCTCCTACCTCCGAAAGGATGCCAAATTATGCTCCAAATTTTCAACCACCAAATAATTATGCCGGCATAATCCGCCGGTGCCTACCGGTCTCGAGGCAGGGCACCATTGTTTTTGATCCAAGAGTACCCGCGACTCCCCGGGTTCCCCTCAGATGTGTACGGTATTATGACGCAAAGATCCGATTCCGCTCGACCAAGACCCTATGCAGACTTTTTTGCAGAGTAGAGCTGGATCAGGCGTTGCACACTCTGGGGGGTTTTGTACTCTTGGTACGAGTCGTACTGTAGATCTGGTACATGTAGATCCATCTACGTGGCGTCGCTACGCCTACGGCTACGGGCCGGGCTGTGCCATTTGTCACCAATATTTTGTGGGCATGAATCATGCATTCATGGCCTAGCCTTTCTCTAGATCTTCTTGAGTCGGATCTTGACAAACAAAACAGAGGTTTTCAATCTTCAAATCGCCATGGCATCCTTATCATGACTCCAAATCAGCTGAGACTTTGCGGCACGGTTCAAGTAAGTTTAGTTGCCATGCTGAATCGATTGATACTTTTCGGAAGGGTTTCCTTGAAAAATAAAATTTAGCCGCTGCACTGGCTACAATCATAATACATGTAGTACGTACTAGTCTGTACAGTATAGTAGAGTCGAGTGACACTATAATTATATACTACTAGTACTACTAGTACTAGTGTAGTACTAGTATTGCATGACTGATTGTACAATGTCATGTAGATAAACCTTGTTTTTGTTCAAACAAAAAAATATTAAAATGATGTACAGTACATGTACTAGCAAGAGTACATAACCATGGGTTATGTACTCTTGGTACTAGTACCGTAAAGTACCGCCAGAGCGCCCCACCATCTCATCCTTTCGTGGTCGTATTGTGGAGGTGGTCTGCTGTCTGTAGGTCATACGACATGTACATGTTCCTGCACGAGTACGAGGCCAGTACCGCGGAATCCAGCCCGCGCCGCGATAGCGGCAAGGGCTGGATGAACAGCGGTACTGGCCGAGTATGAGTGACTGGAACGTGTTTCCCGTGTGCACCCAAGCCAAATAAAGAGATACATGACAGACACACCTGCATTGTGTTTTGTGATTGTTTTCTGGTACAGTTTTTTGTAGTAGTCCATAGTGCTTTTTTTTCTCGCGCGGCCATTGACATTGTCGACTGGGCATCGGGCATTCTGACTGTTCTGTTCCTACGGATTTTTCCCACTACACGTCTTGATCGGAAACCTCGGCAAATTGCGCGGATCCTGCAGGTTGCTGAGCATTGCGCGCTTTGGTTGAGGCTCATCCGGCTCGTCCAAGATCTCCTTCGCGAGCGACTCCGCAATAAAAGTTTCAGTCTCTTCCTCAACTTTTCGGAGGAGCTCATTCGCATCGACAATATCGTTCAACAAAGGGGATTCTTTTCTCCCAGTTCCAGATCAAATGTTGGAGCGCCATGATGACAGTTGTGGTTGCAAACAGTCGCTCTTCTGCTTTAGTTATTTTATTAGTAACCAATGAAAGACCTTGAAGTAGAGTCAGTCCAGTGGCTACTGCCCGGCGACGGCCATGCCGGCCAGTTGAATCCGTTCCTGCCCGTCGTCAAGTGACGACGGGCAGTGGAATCCGTTCCTGCCCGTCGTCACTTGACGACGGGCAGTGGAATCCGTTCCTGCCCGTCGTCACTTGACGACGGGCAGTGGAATCCGTTCCTGCCCGTCGTCACTTGACGACGGGCAGTGGATCCAGTTCCATCACCTTTGATCTTTGAAATTGAAATTTGAGCAGGCAGGACCGCGCTTTCCAGCCTGCGCTGTTTGATCTGTCATTGGTCAACTCCAAGGCGACAATCACGTGACATACGGGAAGAACCTTGTACACATACAGCACGTTTTGCAGTCAATCCGTACCTTCGAGCGGACACAAGCTCCACACAAAAACCTGCCAAGTGTGACC